TTCTTCCACATCCACCATTCAGTTCCAATACTGCTCTATGGCCTTTTCCACTCAATGGCATATTTCCTCAGGACTTTCTGGCCAAACTAATATATTTGATTAACACAGTCTACCTGAATAAGTTATTATTTTATTATAAGGATATAGGATTGCATGGATTACTTTCACATTTGTTTGCTAGGATTCCCACAAGGAATAGGAAGGCACCTCAATACACTTGCTTTTTTCTTCTGCACCAAGATTGAATAATAACAACACAGAATTTGTGTCTACTAGAAGAGTTGTCTTCCTTCCAGCAAACCAAGCACACACACACACACACACACACACACACACACACACACACACACACACACACACACACACACACACACACACACACCCCTCTCTCTCTCTCACTCACACGCAGACTACAGATAAGTACATAAATGTTTTCTCTTTTTTGAGTGATCTGTACATGCATAAATATATTCTTCTCATTCTCTTCTTTTTTCTGTGCAATGTTGTACTTTATATAAATATGTATAAAAATTCTTCTATATGTTGAATTCATTTCTTTTGAAAATGTTGAATTCATTTTACTTTGAAAGTCTTCATCCTAATCAGCCATAACAAGTCACGACTCCTCCCACTACAAACAGGTGATCAACAGCAACCTCGTTTGAGACAAATAATAGTGCAATTCACAACAGGTACCTTGATATTCTATAACTTTCACCAGTCTTTTCTTTATTAATTTTGTTGATTTTTCAACTGTTTCAACTTTAACATTATTTGCAGCAATTTTGATTGCTTCTGACAGAGATTCTTTTATTGAATATTGTTTCCCATTTTTATATGCATCTCTTTTAATGCTAGAGGATATGAAGATAGTGTAGTGGATAGTGACACAGAAAGAGAAATCAGAGAACCAAGTTCAAATTTCACTTGAGTTTGTTACATTCACTTACTAGCAAATACCCATGAGAAAAGTATGAATCCATCTCTCTCCTCCTAGCTATGGGTTAAATAATTGATTAGACTGGTCTCTTCAGCTATGATTTTCCCTTAAATGTCACCCGGATCAACATATACCTAAAGAAGGCTGGAGGAGTCAAGAACCAAAATATTGTAATAATAATAATAATAATAATAATAATAATAATAATAATAATAATAATGAGTTTCAAATGGGCATAGAGATGCAAGCACAGCACAATACACCAGCTGAAACTGCAAAATACTTAAAAAAGACAGCAAAGACAAATGCAACTGACCAGATACTGAAGCAATGGCAAGATAAACCGCTTCATGGCCAATAGTCTGCCCGTACCAAACAAGCTGACGTAGACAAAACCCATACCCATCAGTGGCTACGTAGTGAAGGATTGAAAGCTGAAACTGAAGGTTTTATCCTTGCTGCACAGGACCAATACTTGCTAAGCAGGAATTATCAAGCACATATACTGAAATATTGTGTCAGCCCAAAATGCAGATGCTGTGATAAATATCCAGAAACGATTGATCATCTTGTATCAGGTTGCACGATATTGGCACCCACTGAATATAAAACCTGGCATGACAGAGTGGGCCAATATCTGCACTGGAAAATCTGCAACTTCTACGGGTAGGAAACTGAAAGAAAATGGTATGAACACCACCCAGACCCGGTTACGGAGATAGGACCTGTTACAATTCTATGGGACTACACAATACACACTGACAGAACAATCAAAGCCAACCGCCCAGATATTGTTATTAAAGACCACAAACAAAAAAAGTGCCTCCTTATTGATATGACAGTCCCTGCTGATTGCAATGTATCTTTGAAGATATTCAAAAAGTTGTCAAAATACAAGGACCTTGAAATAGAAATCTTGAAAATGTGGCATATGGGAACATCAACAATCCCTGTTGTAGTTGGAGCCCTAGAACTGGTTGGAAAAGATTGCAGTAGATTAATTGAAGGGATTCCTGGAAGTCTATGCCTCAAGGAGATACAAAAAATTGTTCTGACAAGTACAGCCCACACTTTACGAAGTGCTTTATCTATGTAATATTTTTTTTTTTTTTGTCAGTGGAAAGTGTCATGATGCCATTTCTAACCTTAGGTTTCAAAGCAGAACCCTGAAAGTAATGTGTAAACACCAGAAATCAAAGGAATAAAATAATAATAATAATAATAATAATAACAAAGATGGTGGTGCTAGTCTGACTGTAAATAATGTTAATAATGAAAAGTCCTCATCCCAAAATTTAAGACAGAAACAATCATCCTTGCAAATACAATCTAACAAATAATAAAGGAAGTAAGATGGAATGTCATTCGTCTACAGTCAATATATTCTCCAGGTATGGCACTTTCAGACTCTATCATTTCTTTTGCTTCATGCAATACACTTTGTCTAATCAAAGCTGCTCAATCCTCACTTTCTTGCCTTCAAAATAATTTACATAGTCTTTTAGGGGGTGACTTATTTTTCTTTCAACAGCCTCTTTCCCCAGAGACACAACAGTGTAAGCCTTTTGCTACTCTTTCACTATTTCCATGGCAAATGTTCAGATGAACTCTACTCTTTACTCCTACCAGTTCAGATATTTTTAGCTAGGCCTCATCATGCTACATCCATGGAGTTGATTTGTCCATATTTCCTCTGTATTCCAATTGTAAGGAAAAAGTTCCACTCATGCAGCTTTTTCCTGAGAACTTCTGCCTTGTGGAACAAACTCCTACATAGATAATTCCCTAAATGTTATGATTTTAACCTGTTTAAACCAAGAGTCAGTTGCTACTTATCCTCCATATTCTCATAAACTTCATTTCCTTTTATCTCCTATTACATTCATATGACACACCCCATTCAGTAATCCCCTATACAATGAGTGCCTCTTAAGCATTGTATTGGATAAATTTATTAAAAAGAATAAATGAAATTTGGCTTGATATGAGTACTTGTTGCACATGTTTCTCTTTACTAGGCAAGGAGTTACTTCAATAAAGTTAACATCAGTTAAAATTTCTAGGGCAAATAATTAGGAAAGAGGGCTTAGAAAATTTGATACTTACCACAGGACAGATTGAAGGCAAGAAGGACAGAGGACAACATCAAATAATCTATTTAGTGAGCCTGAGTAAATGGACTGCAGAACAAGGTTTAGGAAATAAAAAAAGACAATATTTATTAAGAGCTACAGAGGACAGGAAATTGTTGAAAGCCATGATTGCCAATATCCTGAACTGACATGACACATAAAAAAGAATGAGTACTGGTAATCTATGATATCCAGATAAATATTAGCCTATCAGATATCTTGTTTTTATATATAAGATCCAGGAGATATTTTTTAAATAATTTTTAAAAAGAAAAAGGGTAGGCAGAGTAATTATTACCATCAAAAGCAATAAGTTTTCAGGTTGTAGGGGAGTTATAACTCTATAACTAATTATAAACCTCCTAATATTTATATACAAAAATACTCATAAAAATGAGAAATGACATGACATGGAAACAACAAAATGAGTATTATTATTTATTATCTGGCAGTTATGTGGTGTTGAAGAAATGAGAGACAGGGATACTGAGTAAAATTGTGAGTTTGGGCTCAAATGTAGATCAAATATGGACTGGAATCTGACAAAATGATAAGATAAAGGATAAGAAAAGAGTTTTTCTCATGTATTTTTCATAGATGTGTGTAATGAATGTCCAAATAATTTAGCTGTTTTTTTTTTTACCTCAAATTTCAGTTGAGTGCTAAAAGATAAATGTTACTATTATAGTCTAAAAAGGAAAAAGAGACAAAATTTTCGTTGGTGCACGTATTAATGACCTGTCCATTTGAACTGCTTGTCCGATAGTGAGAATATCACATATTTGTGTTTGTAGAGAAAAGTCAGGTCAATTTTCACTGGTTTAGAAGGATATTCATGATAATTATAATTATTTTAATTATAATAATTTTTTTTACACTATAATTAATTTTTATTTATTTTCTTATGACCACAACAAGGTATTTCTCTTTTTTATTTTTTAAAGCAGTGTTTCTCAACTGGTGTCACCTGGAACCGAAGAGGTCATTAGGTGTTACACAAGAAACAGTGATAAATAGGCTAACACTATATTATATTCATAATTTTACTGTATATACAGAATATTGTTGGAAAATCACTGGTTATAATAATAAAAGCTTCAACTTTTTATATTATTTAGAATTATAATAATCATATTAAATATATTTAGTAATATGGTATTTTTGTAGAATTTTTATGCAGGGGTTCCCTGAGAAATGAAAACTATTTCATGGGTTCCACACTAAAAAAATTGTTTTTTTTACAGCTTATCAACCCTTTATTATTTAAAGCTGAAACATATTTTTGATTTACATGCAGACTATTGTCCTCATCTTTATCATAACAATAATAATAATTATATATATATATATATATATATACGTATACTGTTCAGGTCTAGAGTTTAGCCATTATCTTTCCCACGTATACTCATAAACTGTAGCTCTTACTCTGTAATTCACTACCTCGAGTGGCTCTTGGGCCTTGTACAGGGTGAACATCATTGTAAAAAATATTCTTTAATGACAAGCAATCATGAACACTCAGCAAAACACTTTGTTGATGTAAGTAGTGAGAGAATAAAGAAAAATAAGAAAAAAATTAAACTTACAAAAAAAAAACATGAATACGGCAAAACATTTTGTTCCTAAGTAGTGAGAAAAAAAGAAAGAAAGGAAGGAAAATAAAAAGTGAAAGAATATAGGAAGAGTGTACTAAGAAAGTGGGTGGGTAGAAAGATTTTAAAGAAAGAGAAAGTATGAACAGTTGTGAGAGTAGTAGAATTCAAGGAAAGGAAAGGGAAATTGGTAAAAATATCCTAAAAAAGAGAAAAAACATAAAGAAATAATTCAAAAATAAAGGAAAAGATGAGACAATTTTTTTTTTTTTTTTAAATTAGGAAAAGTCGTGAGTGAGATTTCGGGAACGAGAATAGTTTAAAACACCCAACATGGCGGCCCATGCGAGTTGCGTCGAGCTTCTCGGTTCGTTATTTCCAGACATTGACCCTCAAATATCTGATTATGTGACCGGTGAGTAAATGAAGTGTTGTAATTTACTTGAGAGATTGTTCACAAATTATGACAAGGCACATTAACAGTACATCTTTATTGTAGACTTTTCTTTTTTTACCATTCTCTTGCGTGGCTATACAGCTAGTAACCTACTCCACCAAGTTCAGCTACTCTAGGAAATGTCTATACTTCACTTGGAAGTTTTTACTTCTCCAGACATCGTGTGTATACGAAGTCGCGAAAGAAAAAAGGTTTGTTCCGACCCATGTTTCGCAATTAGTATGATTACCTCAAAATAAAAGCTTTGTAAAATATGGGTGAACTATTTAAAAAAAAATATGGATAGAAAGAAAGAAACAGTATCGGTGGATTTAAGATTAAGTTTTTAGCCTAAATTTAAAAAGCAAACTGCAAAGTAATTGTTACGGAAATTCTACTTGAAATAAAATTCAAGAATATTGATAATATTTTATTGTCATTTCTTTCTATTATAATAATAACAGGTTTTTTTTGTTTGTAAAATAAAAATGTCAATTCATCATTATTGAATTAACTGTTCAGTGCTATAATTGACAATTATTGTTGTTCATTTATTTATTTTTACCCCCCCACCAAATGTTAAAAAACAGATCAAGTTTTTCTCGACCAACCCAATTTATTTATTTTTTATATTTACATTTTTTCTCATAATTGAATAAGTATTTATTTTTTCTTTACTCGTATTTTTTTTTTAACATTTTTTTAATTTCTGGATAACCTACAACCAACGAAAATCATAACAGACTCTCTATGACATATGTGCTATTTAATTCCAAGCATAAACTAATTTTTTTTTTTTTTTTTTTAACTTGTTCTTTGTTACAGTATAACTAACACTTACTTACAATGACCAATAGATTTAGTGGGTGGGTCTGTGTGTACTTGTTTTGAACTGACTAACCCTGTATAATTTTATTTTAACATAGATTGACTTATCAATTTTATTTAAAAGAAATATACCCCGGTTTTAAATGGTCATCAAGTTTACTTATGTTAGTGTTAGTCTTCAAAAACTGTTTATAAATAATATTATTTGATAATGAATATTGGATTTATTTTCTTGAACTACTATATTGCTGCTAGTGGAACTCCTTCCTTACTTTATTGTTTTTTTTTTTCTTTTTAAAGACCGTCTATTTACTGATGAAAATAAATGACTATTTTTAATATTTAATAAATTGCTAGTTTTTTTTGTTTTTTTTAATTCTATCTGATTTGATTTTTGTCAAGCGATTATTTTTTTTACTGAATCGACTCATTTGCTTCCCTGCATATTCCATTGGCGAGTGGGAAATTTCACTCGGACAACTTCTTCCCACAGAACTGTTGCATTATGGAACGAACTCCCGAGATGATGCTTCCCCGATCATTACAGTAACCTCTTTAAGTCGAGAGTCAATCATAATCTATCCTACATATCCCCATAATATGCACCAGTTGCTTTCTCTCTGTACACTAAAGCAACCTCATTTAGTAACTCTCTATATTGCATGGCTCTTGGGGCATTTATTGGGTGCGTGAACAACATTAAAAAAAATCATTGTTGGCAGACTGATTACTTTCTTTTGGAAAATCTAGAAATAAATTGCATCATTTTTAATTTTAAGAAATGAATTTCTTAATTTGGAATTTTCCATTAAGTTTCTCTCTGAATTTCTGGCATGAGGAGTTATTATTTACATTATGTACAAGCAGACTATTGTCCTCATCTTTATTGTTGTCATCAAAACGTTTTGGCCATTGTGACCTCTGACCTTCATCAGGTGCTTGTCAATGCTGGTAGCTTACAGGAAATTTTGAATTGAACGCGTTATTTCATCTACAGGGAGTAGATTGTTCTAGTTTCACTGGCTGTATCTGCAGATATCTTGTCTAGTTCTTACTTAGTACTGCTCGGTTAATGTTTGCAGTGTGTACTTGGACTTGGTGGAAACTGGGCACACATTTATGAGCTATTAGCAAGATATAATAGTTGTGTGAACTAACAAATTTAATTTCCATGTTTTTGACATTTATGGGAGAAATTCAAGGTAATCTGTTACTGATAGGCTTTTAAAAATATTGATAGCCCATAACACAGCTGTTTGAGGTTTCCTATAGCCCCACTGAACTTAAATAAAGTCAATTCAGGTTTGCTATGGTAAAAATTTTCTATCTAAAGAAAAAATCATCACAAAAATGGCAAAAGTCATTTGTCACAGTTTATTTTCTCTGAAAAAATGGATTTTCATACTTTTATAGCGGTAAAATATTGAAAAATGACTGTTTAATCATCATCTAAACAAATATCAAGGAAACTTTTGATCTGAACCCCATGAAACTAGGTATTTTCTGAAAGCAAAGGATATATATTTTCATTTAAAAATAAAATTGGCTGGTGTAAATGACTCAGATTTTTATTTCAAGGGGTAAAATGTGAAAAAAATAGTGAAAATTTTGCATTTTTTCTAGTTCTAAACAAAAACGTTCCCCATTAATGGGAAATTAACCTTTTTTTTGAAAATCAGAAAGCCTAAATCATAATCAAACTATTTCAGGCATAAAATTGAGAGTTTTGAAGGAAATCAACATTCCTAGGGGGTCAAAATGTGACAGTCCATTGGTAATTTTCATTTATATGACTGCCAGGGGTTAAAAAAAATTGACACCCGACCTCGGAAATCTTTACTAAAAGGCAAAAGATTTATCTGCAATTCCTGACCACCAGAAAACAAAAGTAAAATTAAGCCAAATTGACTTTGACATGTCTGGGTCAAAGGTCAGCCAGCCAGCAATAAATGTTTAGAACAAGTTGTCGTCAGCTTGTAATAAAACCTATCACTCCCAGATAAGAACAAAGAGCGAAAAAAAAACGGTCAACATTGGTAGGGCTTGATATATGGTGTTTTTTTTTTTTTTTTCAAACCTATGTTTGAACAATGGCTTGATGTGTTTTGTTTTTAACACCCTGTGACCTGACGATGACAACAACACTTAACAGACCACATTGTTTTTTTTCGCCGCATGTTTTTCGTATTTTCTATCGCCAGGCCATTTAGCCATTCCTTTTATTCAATAATGTTCATGCCAAATTAAGGAGAAAGGGATGAAGTTTGAATGATATTACTTTGAAGTGAAAATAAATATTTTTTCATAAAAAAAAGGTTTTTTTTTTCTCAGAAAATTGGGAATAATTTCTTAATGCTAACTGCCGAGTGACATTTTCCACAGCCAAATTGAAGATTAATTACCAGTGAATAATTTCATGTGCAAACAATAGCCGTCTGGATCCTATAACGTCGCCCGAAAAGGTCCAGAAGTCTACTGATTGATCGAAAACTTGTTGCTCATAATTGTTTTTCACGGTCAGTTTCCATTATTTCATCTTGATGTTGTCATTTTTGGACAGCCAAGTCATCAAGGATTCAGGAAAACAGTTTGGCACAGGTTTGCTTTTAGAACTTTACATTCTATGAAGTGTTTAAAATGTTACTGACGAATGTGATTTTTTTTGCCGAATATTTCATTTACGCGCCATGTTAGATTTTCCTATATGACAAAAATAAGTGTTTTAAACAGCCATGATAATGCATATGTGCCTGTTTCATCACAGGCAAATATTCTTTTTACTGGCCAATTTGGTGAACTTATGTATTGTTTTTTTTTTTTAATCAATCTGTCCCAAGTGATGCATCTTTCTTAGAGGTTTATTAATGTGCATTTTAAAGATTTTTATAGACGACATGTAATTTTTATTAATAGCTTATGAGTTGATTGTTGAGCCAGTAAAAATACCTTACAAAAAGTAATGGAAACAATATTTAACTTTTGGTCTGCCAAATTTGGTAAAAACCACAAAGAAACACAAACAAAAAAAGATGTCATCAGATATTTATATTTAATGTTGATGCACAATCTAATAATATGGAGTGTGACAGAAATACCTCCCACATAATGGTAATTAGTTGCAATGGTGCATTCATCTAGCTAATATCTTTTGCTATTATGTGGAAGATATTTCTGCCCCACCTTGTACTATTTTCTGAAATTATTAGATGAAACATTTTTATTTCATTAGTAGTTTTACTCCATCTAATTATTGTTGCTTTTTTTTATTTTTAATTCTTGCTACTTCAGGTTCAATACACTTTGACAAACATCACAAAAATTGGAAATAAGTTGCTTTCTAATTCACATTGTCCGCCTTGAGAAAACCTGTCTTTCATGCATTTTGCTTTAACCGCATATGCTGTGGAACTTTAAGTGAAATGAATTGGTAGATATTTCTGATTTAAAAAAAAAAAAAAAAAAAAATTGTTGTAAAAAGCAATAATAATATGTAGTAAAATTAGTATTAAGTGAAAATGTTTCACTTAAAAATTTCTGAAAATAACTAATATTAATCTGTCATAAAGCAAAGTGTGTAGAGATGTGGAGATGACTGCAGATTTTGTTCTCCATTTAGTCATCAAAGATTCCACAGACAAAGTGGTTAAGATGACCACCATGAAGGGCTGACTGTCAAGATTTGGGCTGAAATTCAAGTTTTTTTTTTTTTTTTTTTTTTTTTTTTTTTCAGAATCTACATCTTTATTTCTGATTGTGTGCTTAAAAAAAAACTTTATATTTAAAACTTATCACACTAGATATTTAGGCATTTCATTAGTTGAATTGGTCACAAGCAGTTTGGTATCTTTTCATCACACTTGATGGAATTAGTGGTCTTAAACCCTCCCTAAATATATTCTCTTCTGCCCTACAAACTTTCATTCTCACTTTGTTGCACAAAATCTTGCACTGCATTTTTTACATTTGTTCTTGTTTCCACCTATTTTCTTAATTCAATTTTATATATTTGGAGATTTAAGAAAATATTAAATGTATATCAACTCAGGGTATTATGATAAAAAGCAGCAAAAATATCATTATAGCTTTTAATAAAAAAATAAATTTTCTAGTGTGGTTAATGTCTATCATTTAAAAACAAATATGTACCTTATTGTTGGAAAAAACATGATTTTATATAACACGTCTATTTTTCAACATATCTTTCCTTGTCAATGAATTTTGCTTCTGTATAATGTGAATATAAAAAAGTTAAATTTTCAAATCATTCAGCTAATAATTGTGCCAGACTTATTGGTCTACTCTTATGAATATAATTTTATGAGCGATATTTTTAAATCCAGTATTTAAATATATTAAGTCTTTTCTGAAATGAAATATTGAAATTAGCACCATATAAATCTTTATCACTAGAATAGGTGATTAGTTAAGAAAGAAATATTGTTGAATGCTATTTAAATCTGAGGAAAGTTCACAAGTGATCAAAATTATAAAGTGAATGTGTATATGAGAAACCAGACCCACAATCTTGTCATTAATTTTTTCATTGACATCATATTTAATATTCACCTGTTATCTATTAAAAATATGCAATAGTCTATAAACATGAAAAATAAACATATTCAAATGTATGAACAATGTCATTGTCATTTGGTGAAGGGTTTTTCTTATGCTATGTGCATTAAAGAGGCAAACATTAAAAAAACAAGAAAATTCACTTGTTTGATAAATAAATATTCTTGTGGAATATATTAGAAAAATATCAGTTTTTCAATCTGTAAATCTTCAAACAAAATTAACTGCAATGTTTGAAAACAATAAAATATCAATAGAAATTGGAAAATAAAATTTGACTTTCTTGTCTTTCATTGAATTGGATAACTTATTTAAAAACTGAAGTTTTTACTAGTAAACTCTACTAACAGACAAATATTTATTTCCATATTATAATTGATTGGGTGTAGAATACACACATTCTCTCGTGTATAGAGAAGTAAAAAAAATAAATCCACAGTATTTTAAAATAATGTTAACATTCTTGTCTGTGTTATGTCTCATCTGAAGATTGGGTGAGTGTGAAACTCAGGTTATGGCTAGAGCCATATTTTTATAGGATTTAATGTTGGTAAGCATTTTTTTGCTTAATCTATGTTTCAAGCACTTTATTGAGTAAGCAAGTTTGCCCTTAGGCCGTTCTTCTCTCTTCACTATTGTCGTTTTTATTCAAGACTTTATCTGGATTTTAGGTTTTGGCAAGTTGTCCATTGGTTCTATCAATGGTTTTTGTTTTTCTTTTATGTTATGAACCATAAGTACATTTTATAATTATTTTATATTTTGAATTTCATGTGTTTATTTTTGCAGGCTTTCACTCCAAAATTTTTAGTGGCCCATAAAGTTAGCTTGCAGAAGTTAAACATTCAGCATTTTATTATTATTTTTCTAATGAATGTCTAATCAACTGCCTTGATAAAGAATTAAACTTCATATACCAATGTTATTAATGAAATGTTTCTAACTACATCTTTGAAAAATGTAAACACATGAACAAAATTTTGTGATATCAGTAAGATGTTTTCTTTAGCATTGACATATAACACTTTTTGTTGCTGTTTGACTCTCTGATGTTTTTAATTTTCCAGATTCCAGAAGATAATTTAACATCTAGAAAATTATAATATAACAGATACATACATGCATATTAACTTTTTTTATTTTTAAATCGAACAACCATGGCCACTGGTAGAATTGAGTTAATCTTTTTATTCTGTACAATATAAAATGAAATCATTTTTAATATTCTATTAATAATACATGTATTCGATTTCTATAAGATGTCCTCTCCTCAGTTAAATTTTCAATACTTAATGTTTTGTTCTATTTAAATTCTCTATTGCATGAATCACAAAAGATTCCATGTTACTATTGAATGATCAATTTCAGTTTTTCAAAGGAAAAAACTCTTTTGTCTTTAATGATTGTAATAAGAGTTTTAATGATAGATTAGCCATTTCCTTTATTCAGCATTTGTTGACCGAGCAGCAAGTGCTACTTTTGATTAAAATTTATAAAATCTTTCTATTAAAACAATTTTTCAAGAAAATAGTTTTCTCAAGTCCATTTACAGTTATTTTCTCTTTCCATTATTGATGGGGGTTTCCTTTCTTACCCTTTGTTTGGGGTAGTGTTGATTTAAATAGAAAGACCAGTTTTGCTGCTCCATCTGTGCCAAGATGGTTTCTCAGATTGGAATGCACCAGTCCATAGGATGAGAAAACTCATTCATCACCAGAAGTTGCTTAACTGCAGAAAGCATATCACTGAAACTTTGAAATTTCAAGATTATTATATATAAATCATTCATACATAACTGATAATTCCCATGTTAATCTGTTATTTTAAAATACTGTAAGAATAAAATAATTGTATTGACCATATCTGAAAAAAAAATAACTAGTCTGAAAGTTGAATGTACATGTACACAAAACCTTATGAAATGATAAAAATTAAATGTAGACTTTTATCAACTAAATTGGGAAAATCAAAAAGATATAATAAAACAATTTGGCAACCCTAAATTATCCTAATATCTCTTAATCTCTCAAACTATTTCTATCAGCTTTGCTCTTTCTTTTGCTTTCTTTATGTGCAAAAATTAAAAAAAAATCTTTAACAATCCTGCCAGTGACTCCATTTCTATGTTATATGTTCTAATCTGCTTCCTGTTATATAAAAATAAATTATATGCTTTTTTTAAAAAGTATATTATGATGTGATTACATATAATCGAATATATTTTCTTTTTCTTTCTTTTTTTTTTTTTCTTTGTAGGAATCATTAATGATTCTTCAGAGGATGATTTTGAATCTCCTCAAGATATTTATGATGCAATTGGAGATCTGCTACTAAATTCTGCAACTGGTAAAACAGAGGATGATGTCAAAGATATATGTGAAAAGTTTCATGGTCTTATGAAAAGGTGCAGTGATGTTTTTTTTTTTTTTTTTTTTAATAATTTTTACCTATTTAAAAAAGAAATCTGTTACAGCTAGAATTTTTACTTTGGTAAATGAATTTTTAGCTATAATCAAATGCATAAAAATTATATTATTTAAAAGAAAAATAATGTGGATATTGTTGGATATTGTTAGACATTTTTTTTTTATTTGAAATTATTATTTGCAATTATAATCTTCAGTTTTATGTGAAAGAAAAATATAAAAATAGTCATCCCAAACTAAAATTTTATTTTCAATATATCTAAAATCCTTTAGAGAACTTGACTAAACATAAAAAATGGTACCAAATTTATCTTGGTAGCTCAATGAGCAACCAAATTATGACCATCCAAAATTGGACAAACTTAGAAAATTTTTTGTCTTGTGTGCTCTTGTGATCCCTGAAGTTGTCTAAAAGGAGAAGAAATCTATCTCTTTTTTTAAAAATTACCTTCCCTGTTACCAGTTATATAACTTAAAGTAGGTGCTATTGTTTTTTTTACTTGACCTGATCAGTCTCTGTTTGGGCAATAAGTAGCATTTTCTCAACAAAATGTATTGTCATGTAGCTAGTTCTGAAATAAAAGAAAGATAATGCTAATGGAATCAATAATTCTTAGATAAGACTAAGCATTAGGGAAAATTGTGTTCTCAAACTTGTATGGCTGCAGATGAAACCAACTGATTTATTATTAAAGACGATACATTGTTCTACAAGGTGTAATTTTCTTTTTTTACTTTTGGATTTCTCTGGTATTTCATTCACTAAAGTTTTCAACTTAGAATTTTTTTTTTTTTTTTTTTTGAAATGCAATTTCTAATCCTATCCAAATTGACAAGTGTCTTTTTTTTTTTTTTTTTAAATGGGACTATTTTGATGTGCAACAAGTTTGAAAAATGCCATTGTGAAATTTTTCAGGTTTTGAAAATGTAGAAAAAGAACAACCTATTGTTGAAATAACGACATAATTTAAAAAGGCATGCAATAAAAACTAATCAGCACACACATGAAAGAATTGTATCTTTAGAAAGAAAAAGTTCAAATTTTGTTTTAATTTTATTAAAATAACCTAAAAAATAAACAAGATGTCAGCAGTTGAAATGGAAGTAAATTTCACTATTTTGACACATTTTCACTGTAAGCTAGAGCAGTTTGGGATACTTAATACAAAACAACAATTGTTAGACTTTTTAAAATATACATGTCCTTAAAAAAATTTTTAAGATTATAAAATTTTAACTTACCAAAATCAATATTTTAATTGATGTTGCAAACCTTTTAATCTGTTTAGATAAGTATCGTAACTTTTTTTTTTTAATTTATTAACAATTATTACTCTAGATAACTATTGAGTACTCTTGCTGACAAAATTCTACTCACCTTGATGTGTTAATTTGCATAATTTTACGGGTCTCAACAAATGTTATTATTTTAATGTAATTGTTCAATTTTTTAAATTCAGACCAAGAACAAAATCTTAAACATTCTTCATCCTTGATGAGATGACTATAATTAAGAATGGGGAATATATTTTATTGGAATGTAAACAGGGTTGTACTTCTGATTATTTATCATCTGCTGGCCATTGCAGTAAACTTGGGGTGATTTTTCTCTATTAGTTTATCAATTATAATAACATTCTGAAGTTAATGTAGTTCTGTAGAAAGTTGTTTTCAAATGAGATCTTGGAAACCTTGCATTCAGCTGAAACTCAACGATCTTGTTAAATATGGTTTCTTACATTTTGATGGTTATAGTATCTTATAAAAATGGATCAACAAAAAGTTAGGTATTTTAAGAACTTTGTAAATACCTAATGAGTAATTGATGTATGAAGTTCAATTAATGTCTTAAACTACTGTCAAATAAAATTGCAGTAAACATTGAAATTAGTTGTCTGTATTATTAAATTAGAATAAATCAATCTGTTTTATTTTATCAATTGAATAATATAGCTGAAGAATGAAAGATTTTGTATTGTTTTATATTGTAAGCATGAATATTAATGTTAAATTGTTGAATTCATGCATTTGTGTAGTTCTACTTCAGTGGAAGAAGTATGCAGATTTAATATTGAAAACCCATAATATTACAAATGTGATGTGAGATTCATTCACTGTAATTGCTGTTAAAAAATGAATCAAGCCAATCTTGCTGGTATGAACTTTCATTTGATTGTCTTTTCATTTGAAATTGAATGCTGCAAGCACAATAGTTTGAATATTTTGATTTCAAATCAGTTTTTGTTGGTGCTTGTTGTAAAGTGTTGTACCAACAGGGCAATAGAGATAAAACTTCTCGGTTGATCTTTGAGCCAAAGGCAAGATAAGCAAAAAATGAAGAGAAAGAAAGGAAAACAAAGCTAATCTTAGATTTTTATTCATTGCCTCTTTTCTTTCAAGTAATTTTACAGCATGAAGCATGTTAGCAATTTATTCCCCCCCACCCAAATCTTTTACTGCAAAGAGATTGTTGGTTCCTTTTTATTGGTACTTGAAATATACACGATGTCTTAAACATTGCTGCTCACCTTTAGATTTTTTTTATTGTAAAACTAAAAAAAAAATCAAAAACATGAAAGGAGTTATTTGTCAATCTTCTCTATTGAGAATGGTGCACAAATAATTTTAAATATATATTTTTTTTTGTCTTTTTCAGTACACAGTCAAGTGAGGCAGCTGAACATAAAGTTTTGAACTCTCCTATTCAATTAGGGTCATTGTCTCGTGACCTTATAGACTCCAGTTTAGAGAACCAAAGTATATGGCTGGCCAAGAAAGAGACAGTTTCTGTGAGTCCCTGTCTCCTTATTATTAGGGAGTGAAGGTTATATTTTTCATGTTCAGCTCCTAATTTTCTGTGAATAAACTTAAGAAAGCAATAACATTGCAATGTTTTTGCTTTCATATAAGGTAGGGAGAAATTTCTAGATGTTTATATTCCCAACTACTTGATAAGTCATGTACCACAGACATGAAGAGCTACAGTATTTTGTATGAAATGATTCCTGATGATTTTATAATACAGTAACAATGTGTAATATATCTGCAGAATATCATTGTGATGTTTGCTTTTATTACATGGTTTTTATTAACACAAGTTTAGATGATTAGGTAAAGTTTTTATTTTATTTTTGTTGTTGTATATCAATTTATGCAAACAATCATTTATACTTGTTTAATTTTTATATACAGTCAGTGTATTACGTTTTAATAGTGTGTTTCTCAAATTTTGATGTTTTGTATTTTCTATATAGCAACAAACAGAAGATGTAGCCAAATATTTTATATAGGAATATATTTTAAGAAGAACCAAAATCAAAATTGTCTATAATTTTTGCATGAATAAATTTAAAGATGAGATTACTTTAGAAAAAGAAAACATTTCACTGAGAAATTTTCTTTCCATGAATTTATGACTTAAAGGATACAACTCTTAATTAAAAATATTCAGTCTTTGTAGAAAAAACTGTCATATGAACCTTGTTTTATTTATATATTAATTTTAATGGATACCCATATTTGAGTAGATGCTCTATTTTATTTTTTTAATTGCATTTTTCTTTAATAAGATTTCTCAAAATTTCAGGCCAGTAGATAAAATACTGTTTAAAAAATAAATACAGGATCTACTCAAATATAGGTATCCACTAAAAATAATGTTTAAAGTAATAAAAATGTTGGATTGATAAATATAAAAAAAAAAATCCATTATTTCTTTTATATATATATATATATATATATATATATATATATATATATATATATATATATATATATATATATATATATAAAAATAAAAACTATACATAAAACATACATACACGTAGATACACACAGACATACTTTTCACTGTATAACAGGTTTTTATGCTTTTTGGATAGCTTTTCAGATATTTTATGCAGAAATTCTTTACATCAAATATAATTGGGTATAGTGACATTTTTCAAACTTTTTTTTAAAGTATTAGAATAATTTCTTTTTTTTTTTTTTTTTTTTTTTTTTCATCAAAGACCGAAAATGCCAGGAAAAAACAAACCCATTTTCTTTTACTTACAAACTGTCACTAATTAACAGCCTTGCAAAAAAAAAATTAACACATCTTTGCACACTGAGAAAAAATAAGTTGCAAATGCATGCATGGATTGATAAGAGAGGTAATTGAGATAAAAAAAATTTCTTTATGTTAATACAAATTCAAAAACTTTTTAAAAAAATTCAATTTTCTGTTACATTTTACATTTATCAGTTATAAAATCACACTTATCATTTAATTAAATTTGAAAATATAAGAATCAATAACTTGAAAACAATAATTGAAAATCTTCAATTTTTTTCTTTTACAATCTAAAGTTTAAGGTATATATATTTTTAAAAAGCAGCCAAAAAGTTTAAAACAATATTTTTGTGCTTTCTTTTTTTTTTTTTTTTTTTTACTCAGTATATTTTCTCGATTTTCTAAGGAAGTTTTAAATAAAATTCAACTGATTTAATTTCTTCAAAGGGTAATCTTTTTTATTAAAAATTAAAACATTAAAAAATGTAAATATTTTTAGTGTTCATCATTTTATTTCTTTTAGATTTCATGAAATTCTATAAGAACGGTGGGTATTGGTTGGCTTAGAAAAATAATTTCCAGAAATTATTTTTGTAAAATTCACTTTTTATAAAGTAATATATACAGGGTGAGATGGATAAATTGTTGTAGAATTATGCAAAAATGAACCAAAATTATACAAAATAGCTTGGGAATACTAAAGAGTAAATTTATTCAATAAAATCGCCATTGGCTTCATCACAGCCTCCAGATGACTTCGGAATTTCCTGCAACTCTTCTGGACAGTCTCCTTGTTTAAGTTGATGAATGCTGTCATAATCCTTGCCTTCAGTTCATCTTTGATGTTACAAGGAGTTTTGTTGGTCTCTTACTCATCTGTGCCCTACACATAATAATCAAGGAGGTTACAGTCTGGGAAGTTGTGGCCAGATGTGAGGGGTGATATGGTTGCAGAAATTCTGACAGCCATGTCTGCTTGTGTAGCATGGTGCAGTGTCCTGTTGCCAGACTTAGGGTCTTCCAGCAGCCACTCTCTTGATGCAGGGCAGCACTCACTCCTCAAGCCACTTGATGTAGGCCTCCATATTGAGTCTGAGGCCCTGAGGGAAGATGAATGGTGCCATAAAATCACCATCACTATTGATCACCCCAAAAACCTTTGTAATCACCATTGCACATCCAACTCTTTCTGAATCCTCTGCACTGTCCTCAGATTGACACCTAAACACACTGAAATCTTCATACTGGAGCTTCCAGTGTGAATGCCAAGCAGTACAGTATGCTGTTTCCAAATTTCTGGTGGAGTGAATTGTGTCATGGTGCTGTTTTCTTCACTGACCCTACTATACTGTGCAGTCGACAAAAACAAACAATGCACATGTGCAAAATTTAAAAATATTGACAATTTACTCATCATACCCTTTAAATGAATGGTTACCAAACTTTTAGTGAAAAACCAACAAGTGAATTTTAGTAGATTTTAAAACTCTAAGTCTACTTTGCTTGCAAATATTTCACAAATGACTGCAAGTTATTGATTGCAGCAGCAGTCAGGTTATGTTTATGGCTCTAAGTTCACTACAGCAAATTGTCCTATGAGACTAAAGCATTGGTTTGTGAGTTCAATCCCTTGTTCAGGCAGGGTGTACTTGCAGTGGAAATGGGTGAGCAATAACTGAGCAGTACGAAATAAGATCTAGACAAGATATTCCTAGACATGAGCTGTGGAACAAGAACAGTGATTTCCACATGATTTCCAAAGTGAAGAGTTTAGTTCATAAAGCAACTTCATATTTAGGAATATTATTTTATTTGGTTTATTTTGAGAGAAAAAAAATTACATTTTGGCAAAATTATTTGTGGGACGATCATAATTTTGATTTGCTTTTGTAAAATAAGTTTTGTTTTAGGAGTTAATATTTATTGGTCAGTGAAAGTGTTTAATGGTATAAACCATTTGGTTAGTGAAAGTGCTTTTTGAAAGTGTTTAATGGTCTTAACCATTTAGATATTGTAAGTTTGCATCCAGTTCACTGATCATAAAGTGTTTAAGTTCAGATAAAAATGTTTCTTTTTGCAGCAAGTAGATCAGAAGAAATTAGAAAAGGCTGAAGCAAAAATTCAAAAGAAAAATGAAAAACGAGCAAACCAAACTACTTCTGTGAAGAAGACTCCGAATGGGTGAGTGTTTATTTTTGGTTAACAGAAAAATGATTGATAACACTTGGTCTTTAGCATTTTTCAATCTTAGTTTTAAAAATAATTTTTACTAATGAATTTACTTTGTTGAAAAAAAACCAATGCTAGTACAATAGTAACTTCTACACCATTTTTCTATTAACAAAATACTGGAATTCTGGTTACCAACTATCAGTTTGTATTTATGTCTTCTAAATAATAAAAGGACCATATTACATTGAAACATTGCAATGTTAAGCAATGTCAATCCTGGTCATTACCTAGAAGGGTGACCGCTTGGGAATATTATGTGCTGCAAGCTTGGATGTGTGGGTGGTATGATGGATAATGGCTTGGATTTTGAAATCTGTGTGCTGGGTTCCAAATCAACAGTTTTTGAATAAGGCCAGTATGCTCAAAGCCTCAGTCATGATGACTTGTGACTTTGTGCTAGCATAACTATAAGCAGCTTCTGACTAGTTTCGATTATCCAGTTTCACTCACAAGACTTGAGTTAAGCCTTGGTATGATTCTTGGGTAATTTTTGGCAGTACTCCAGGCTGATAACTTTACAATGGTGAAATTAGAACTACTCAGCCAGGTGCCCATATTAGTATATTTAGGCAGCAAGAATTCATCCAAACGAGTTTTGTTAAATTCAAAAAACAAGATCTATTTCATTATTTTATTATATTTTTCCAAATGTGATGTTTTATATTGAGATTAAAATTATGAATAAATTGTCCAACGCTCTTTTTACCCCTTTTTTTTTTTTTTTTTTTTTTTTTTTTCCAAACACTTTTATCTTGGTCGTTATCAAGAACTATGTGTTGTCAGTTTAGTAAACAATATTTTCTGAGTAAATCCTGGCACTGGCAATTTTCAGTTTGGGAAAATATATATAAAATAAACCTTGTCAGCTGAGTTTAATAAAACTTGTTTATATACATTTAATTTTATTTACTACTCTTGATATCTCTATACAGGCTCCTGGCATTATTTTGCTTCAGTATTATGATATCTACAAAATATGTGGCTTAAATGATTGTTTTCTCTCACCTCCAGCCTTATATCATTGACTTTTTTTTCTTTTATTTCAGTACCTGTGAATTAGCTTCTGCATCGCAGCAGTTGAATCGAAGGGACATTAAATTAGATTCCTCGGGTAGCAATAAGTCCTATGATATTCGGATTGAGAATTTTGATGTGTCTTATGGTGAAAAGTAAGTATGTTTTTATTTCTGAAAATACTGTCTTGTTAAAAACAAAATTTACCCATCATAATGTTTGTTTTGCAAAAAACTAAAATGTGGCCTAAATATGAGTATTTAATATACTTTCTCTTTTTATTTAATAACATTGTAAATGGTTTAGTTGGCACAGAGCCACGATATTGGGGGCACACTATGAGGAAAAAAACTCCCTATACAACCAATGGTCTACAAGGTAATCTTACCAACCACTAATCTATACCAAATGCAACATTTATTGAAATTGTATTCTTCCCATAAATTGACTCATAATAAATGTTGGGATGTACAGGTGGTGTAAATGAATAGTGACTCTGAATGTGAAATCAAGGAGCAGAATTCAAATTTGAATTTTTTACATTCACTTACGTATAAATACACTTGGAAAAGGTAGGAATCTATCTCTTCTCACCTCAGCTATGGGTTAAATAGCAGGGCAAACTGGGCTCTCCAGCCATGGTTTGCAATCAGTCTAGGAGAACAACAATTTGGAATTCAAAACTGTACATGGCCCTGATACTGAAATAGACACTTAAGCAAGGACCTCTGTTAAGTTTTGACCAAACTGCTTTATCAAAAACAAGACATTGGACAAGAGTCATGCAAGGATCCATGTAATGGTTTATACAGCTATTACATTTGTTGCATTGTGCAATAAATGTTAGCAAAACAACTTTATTACTTTGATAAAAATGAATGAAAAATGTAACACATTACTATTTTTTTTTTTTACTTAAAATTTTAACAAATTTGGTTAGATGTCTACTTCTGTAGTATAATTTTATGTTTAAAAAAATGATACAGAAGTGGCAATTTGATGAACACTGTAAATTGTATGAGCAAAAGTAGAAAGATTTGGAATTTGCAAAATTTTTACAAAAATATCCAGGATCAAAAATATGTCATTCAGATAAAGATGTTTGTCAAATGGTTATAGCTACTTGTAAGAAAAATATTGAAAAAAAAGTATTTGAAAGCAGATACAAAATAATTATTGCATATGTTATCAGATTATAATTCTGCTTGTTCTTTACACTGCTGATACCTCATAAATCATAGATTATTCCATTTTGATTGCAAGGAAAAACAGAAAAGACATAAAAGAGATGCTGTTTGGTTTCAGGAAGAAAAATAAAGAATATAGAGGATGCAATAAAGCTCATGTTTTTAATGTCTGCTTCAGTGAAATGGAAAAAAACTTGTTGATATTATATTAATAGTACTTATTATAACAATTGATTTTAACAAGCTTTCGTAATTTTCTAAGCTTTATGTCACAAAAGCTTACGACAAAGGATGGCATTGCATATAGTCAAATAATTATACCCTTTTTTTTTTTTTTTTTTTTTTTTTTGTAGCAGTAAATCTGATATATCAGTTATATTCCTGAATATAAATTTATAAAATGTTGTACATAAATAAAACTGATGAAATGTGTTTTTTTTTTTTTTTTCTACAGATCCCTACTAACTAATGCATCTATTCATCTGATTTATGGACATCGCTATGGCTTTGTTGGTCGGAATGGTCTTGGTAAAACAACAGTTTTGAAAATGATATCAAGGTTTGTATTTCTCCATCCATGCTTGATAGTCTGTATAAAAAAAAAAACTAAAATGATTGGAAAATATGTCGTCTTAATGATATTTTTGACTTGGTGTTAAAAAAAATTAACATGGCTTTCTCTTTAACATGTTCATTGTATTATGAATTCCATTGCAAATAATCCAATTGAACTTATGAGAATTTTTTGAAATGAGGAATTATTATTTATCTTACTTTTTGGACCATCACGTTCATCTTGGTTGTTGTATTTCAGCTGTTGTATCCTCTGACTTTCTTCGGGTGTCTCTTGTACTTTGTAATTTTCTAAGAATTTTACAAGAGGGATTATTTCATATCAGTTAATACTCACCAGTCTTATTCACCTTTGCGTAGTTTACCCATGTATTTCAATGAACCAGAATGTGTGACTTTTCAGCCCTGCCAGACTCGGAGATGGAACTCAACTACCAGAGAACCAGATATGTCTTAACCAACACTTTAATCTGCTAGGCCATTTGGACAATCCAGTGGTGTCATTTTGAAAACAAACCTATTATCAATACTCAGATTTTGGAATTTATGAGTGTTCTTTCTTAAACATCTCCCAGATTCTTGGTCTACCGAGGAGATTGTCAGTGTCTAACATGTGTGCTGATTCTTTCAGTTGTTTTATCTTCCATTGTTAGTATCTATTATCTTGATTTCATGCCACAAGTGTTGCTGGCCATCTTTTTCCCTCCATATATGATCAGTCATGCCTAATTTCAATGTCCCTTTCTGGTCTACAGTCTTTAGATATTCTTCTTTTAGTGAGCAGCTTATTTCTCTTGTGTTCCGTGTCACAACTGTATGAAATGAAATACAGTTCTTGGTCATGTTTTCTTCTGGAATGAGGTATCTCTGAAAGTTTGAAACACTTTTCCATATCATCCTGATGGTGTATGGATCACAGATCCTCTGAATCTTGTCAGCCGTACTCTGTATGGAAGGAGAATATACCATAGCAGATTTTGTTTGTAGTCCTTGACTAAAACACTAAGAATTTTTTTTCTTTTTTAAACCAATTCACCCCAAGCAAGGCAATAATATGACTAAGACGCAATGGGCTGCTGGGAGTGAAAGAGAATGAGAAAAATTTATAAGGAACCAGAAACCCAATCCTAAATGGGGAAACAAGTGATAAACCTCTATTCCTGTACAAAAGACTGGGGAGGAGTGTGAACCCATGTATAAGATGAATTGCTAGTCCAAATAGTAAGACATAAAACCCCTTTTAATATTTTTAAGTCTTTTCTATTTCTCTATTTCTAGTCCTAATTTTTGGTAGCTCAACTCATTTATGAATGTGACCTTTTTCTTTTTTAATGTTCACCCAATACAAGGCCCACTCAAGGTAAAGGGCTACTGTGGAGTTTTATTAGCATAGAAAGAGGCAAGATAACAGAGGTCAAGATCTAATTAGCAAATAAAATTTAAGAGTTCAGACGGAGACATTAGAAGTATAGAATTGAATTAGACGTTAGAACTGGAAATCTAATCCTAAACAAGAAACAACAGATGAACCTTTACTCCTGTTCAAAAGACTGGGGAGAAGTGTGAAACTGGATGATAGGCAAACCTATCTATTCGTTCTTAACTGATTTCTAAAGTAACTTTCAGTCTTTCTATAACAAAGTAATCTGTTATCCCTTTTGACATCTCAATTTTCTGCTTTATAACTACACAAATTCAAAGTTATATGATGTAGAGTAGGGGTGGGGGACTTTTTATTTGATTTACCCCAAAAAACGTGTTATATCAATGAATGTTTCTTGACTTGAATTGCAGATTTCACCTTTCTGTTCCTTGACATTTATCACACAGTATCATTTATAAATATTACTTCCTCTTTTACTTTATATGGAATCCCCTCAAAATATAGTATTTTATATATTAGTCCTATATATTTGAAATTGCAATAGCCTGACTCTCAGTTCTAGTCAAGATTGTTTTAGGTGTTGCCATAGAAGGATATGACTATACAACCAAGAAATTCAAATTCAACTCGCAATGGCAAGACTAATATTTTGCTTGGCAAAAATAGTCACCTACAGAGTGCGAAAGGTTAAAAGGACTCAACCTTATGTCTAGATTGAGAAAAGATAACAAATGAACAGTCCTATTTGTTTGCTAACCTTAAAATAGGTCACATGTGCTAAAAAGAAATGCTTGAAGCCATCTTAGTCATATATGTTATTAGTAATGATTTGCCTAAGAAAATACACTAATCTTTTGTGGATATCTATACTGATGATACAATATGGGTGCACTTCCAAAACTTTAAATGACTAGAGTTTGGCAGCTGATCTCTTCTCTGACCAAGCTCTAACAGCTCAGTAGGGGAAAACTGGCTGGTCACATTCAATGCTTCAAAAACTGAACTAGTGACATTCCATCATCACTGAGCAGACACTGAATTTTTGCCTATCACGATGAATGGGTGTTCTCTCAGGGAGGCCCTGTGCCTTGAGCATCTATTGGGACATAAGCTCAAACTCGACCTCAAGTGGAATTCATGCATACAAACCATAGCTAAGGATGCTGGAAAAACCATTGGTTCACTGTACCACTCCAGTAAGTACTTGACTTCTCTTGTTATCTACTTTTACAAGAGCCAGATCAGGCTGAAAATGGAGTACTGCTGTCATATATTGACAACAGCTGCCCCATCTTCACTTTCCAGTATCAATAGAATCCAAAAGTGTCTACATGGCTTTATGAGTGACACATTATCTTCCAGCCAACAATACCTTCCCCACTGACAAAACATTGCAAGCCTCTTGCAACTCTATCATTATTTCCATAGAAAGTGTTCAGATCAACTACATTCCTTAGTTCCACCAGTTCTAACCTTCACATCCAAAACCAGCCATGCCATGTACATTCCCTTTGTATTACATGCCACTCTCATTCCCTTTGTATTACATGCCACTCTCATTCCCTTTGTATTACATGCCACTCTCATTCCCTTTGTATTACATGCCACTCATTCCCTTTGTATTACATGCCACTCTCATTCCCTTTGTATTACATGCCACTCTCATTCCCTTTGTATTACATGCCACCTCATTCCTCATTCCCTTTGTATTACATGCCACTCTCATTCCCTTTGTATTACATGCCACTCTCATTCCCTTTGTATTACATGCCACTCTCATTCCCTTTGTATTACATGCCACTCTCATTCCCTTTGTATTACATGCCACTCTCATTCCCTTTGTATTACATGCCACTCTCATTCCCTTTGTATTACATGCCACTCTCATTCCCTTTGTATTACATGCCACTCTCATTCCCTTTGTATTACATGCCACTCTCATTCCCTTTGTATTACATGCCACTCTCATTCCCTTTGTATTACATGCCACTCTCATTCCCTTTGTATTACATGCCACTCATTCCTTTGTATTACATGCCACTCTCATTCCCTTTGTATTACATGCCACTCTCATTCCCTTTGTATTCCATTGGTGAGATGTAAGTTCTACTTGAACAGCTTCTTCACATGACAGACTCCCAAGGTAATGCTTACCTGATCACCACAATCTTAACTTGTTCAAGTCTAGGGTTAAGTTCTATTTCCCCACATATCCTCATAAACTGTGCTCCTTACCTTTTATTCTGTAACCCTCTATCTTCAGTGTCACTTGGGCCTTGTAAAGGGTGGACATAGTTGCAAAAAAAAAAAATGATGTCAATATGCTAAAATATAATTCCCAAGTATGTTTTGTAAGAAGCTATTTTGTAAGGAAAAGGGATACTGACATTTTTTTTTTTTTTTCTCTAACTAGGAATTCTGATGTTTTTAATACCATTCTACTTAGTTTTTAATCTCCTGATTTTGGTTATTGCAGTGCTCAGCTCCGGATCCCGTCCCACATTACCATCCTCCATGTAGAGCAAGAAGTTGTTGGTGATGATACTCTGGCATTGCAAAGTGTCTTGGAATCTGATGAAAAAAGGGAAAAACTATTGAAAGAGGAAAAAGAAATTAATGCCAAGTTGCACAAAAAGGAACAGTAAGTATTGTATTCCAACACTTGTTATATTTAAACAATGTATGCTCAGAATAATTTGGAAGTCATATGCTTTAGAAATTTTCATTTCGGACTTAAGCAAACTATAGTAAACTTCAAATTGCTTCACCATTTTCCCAAATTAATTCTAAATATTACTTGTTAATTGTTTTTAACTGTATTTTTTTACAAGCTCAAAATAGTCATATATAACATATGACTGTTATTCTAATAATAAAGGCCATATATAACAAATGGAGATGGAATTGAATTATTTTTATATAGGGTATATAAAAATAATTTAATTCTCTCCTCAACTTTACCTATGAACTTAGTCAAAAAAAATAAACTCCCATTCTTGGATGTTCTTGTGAAGTCTAGTAACAATACATTCACTACTTCATTATATAAAAAAATCCACAAGTAAAAACTTTTGCCACCTTAATTTTACTAGTCAATGTCTCCTCAGATGTGAAATTGGCTTTATAAAAAAAATTCCTCATTAGAACGCACGAGAATTATTTTTAGTGGATACTTGTATTTGAGTAGATGCTCCATTTATTTATTAAAGAGTAGTATATTAACTTATTTTCATCTACTGGTTTGAATGTTTCAGAAATCTTATTAAAGAAAAATTTATCCTCTTTGGCAGGATTCGAACTTGCGTCCCCCAGAACAGAGAGGGACTATTGTTAAATCTGATATTCTCTGACCAACTGAGCTACAAAGAACCAATTAGCCAAGCAAGAGAAGCACAGGTTCAAATCCTGCCAGAGAGCATAAGATTTTTCAAACATTCAGGCTGGTTAAAAAAAAAAAAAAATTTATTTCTCATCTGTATCTAGTGACATACATTTGAATGTAAAATTAAAAAAAAACAAAACAAAAAAAAAACTAGAAAAGTAATATCTAAGAAGGATTAGTGAACAGACTGTAAAGTGATGCACTATCTATACGAAGAACTCGGACAAAATGAGATTACAGCTGTGTTGTCTATAGATCATAAATCGTAACGAAAAAAATTGCAGTCAATCCAGAATCAAGCATCCATATTTTACCTACACAAAGTCTACATGTAGAAGCCATATTGATAAAAAAAAAATGTAAAAAAAAAAAAAAATGCAAAGACTAAATTTATTAAAAGCAATATCTAAGAAGGATTAAGGAACAGACTGTAAAGTGATGCCCCACCAATACAATCAACAATCAACTCATCAGATCAAACTTACCAACAATAATATAAAAGCAACATTTCTCTCTCTCTGTCTGCAACATATACACATGCCAATCAGATAGTTCTGATAGGATAGATACAAATTATTTCATTTGTTGTATATATTTTTAAATTTCAGGAATGACAACAAATCAGATATGCTGTCTTCTCGCTTGAATGAAATCTATCAACAACTAGAAGCCATGGAGGCTGATAAGGCACCTGCCAAAGCTGCTGTCATTCTTGCTGGGTTAGGATTCTCACCTAAAATGCAATCAAGCCCTACAAGGTGAGTTAAAAAGAAAATACCTTACATCTGTATTTACCAAGCGATTAGATTCTTTATAATGTTTAATCTGTAATGCTTTGATTAAAAGTACGGGAAAAATCTAATGGTTGATAGGCTTGGAGTATTTTTCATGTTTTTAACAGTTTTAAAAAGTTGAGATAATATACATAGAGGTGCTGAAAAATTCTTGATCTAGTTCACTTTCCAAAATTTAATCAAACATCAGATATTTTTATTTTGTTCTGAAGAGCTTGATTGGGATGAGAACTGTACCCTGTCATCATCATCATCATCATAATAAGAAGAAATACACTGAAATTAAAGGAGTTAAAACTCCCTAATCATTAATTAGAAGACATTGCATACAAATCTACATAGAAGCACATATTGAAAGCATAACTTTTCTTACAGAATCAATAGATTGTTCTAATGAAAAGAAGAAAATGGTGAATGAAATTGGAAATTTAATGGATTTTTGTCTTTGAATTCTTTCAGATCTCTACTTGAAATCTGTGCTAGTTAAAAAGCAAACATAGAACTACTATTGGGCCAATTTAAACTCGTAGCATTCAAGAAGTTAGAGATATATAAAAATCAAAAGCTCAGAATTCAAAATAAGTGTTACAACATTTATTGGCTCAAGATTTGAAGGATTAAATGTGGATAAATGTCCAAATTAGTTATAGATAAAAATGTCCCCTACTCTTGTGATTTATGTGACTTATTTGTTTTTGCAACCTTTGTATATCAAAAAAAAAAATTTATAAACTTTATTCAAGCCTTTTGTGGTGTTTTCGATTGTACCTTATTTTGTTAAGGGTTTTTGATTACTTTTTCACAGAGAGTTTTCTGGTGGTTGGAGAATGAGATTAGCCCTTGCAAGAGCTTTGTTTTCAAAGTAAGTATGCTTATTATTTTATTTGAAGATGAGCAACTTTGTATTACGATCAGACAATTTCTATAGAGTGTTATCCAATTAAAATCATTTATACTGATTTCAGTTTGAATTGAATTCCAAAAACAAAATTTCATAGAAAATCTAGTGTTGCGACATTTCTCCCTTGATTTCAACACCTGAGGGAGCTTAAGACAACATTCGTAGATGATCCATTAAAATTTACCATGGCGCAATTTTGTTACTAAAAGTAACAAATTGTGATAGACAATTTACTTAACTCCTTGTGATCCAGCAGACCTAACTTTGGCATTGAGAGGATCTCTTTGGCCAGGGATCAAGGGATGGTTCTGTCTTATGCCAGTACCAGATTGCAGTTGGTGAAGTGACAAGATGGTATTCAGCGACGTGACCAAGGCTATATCTAGGAGTGGGTTGGCTTAAGGTCACATTTATAAAAATTCAAACTGATGACCACCACTTTCCAAACACAGCCAATTGAGTAGATTTTTGTTGTGGGTAGGTGGGGACACATACCCTGTATATGAATTTTGAGTATTAATTACTCAATTTGTACTCTACTAAAGTAAAGGTGATTCTTAATTTTAAAGGATCTTCGAAACAACATAGATAATATTATTAAAGTAAGAATTATCAAGAGTTATCTTGTAAAAAATCAATCAGTAAAACCTTTTTTTTTTTTTTATGCTATTAACTTTATTGCTTCCTTTAATTATGTGATTTATTTAATTTTGATTTCTTTTATGTCATCTATTTTTTTTTCTCTATTTTAGGCCTGATTTGTTGCTTCTTGATGGTAAGTTTTCACTGATTCCTATTCATTGAAAACTTATTCAGCAAAAACTCTTCACAGCATTTGTACTTCTCTATACACTTCTCTATAAATCTACATGTAATTTAGATGTTGAAAGTTAGTTTTAGAATTTTTAGAGTATATTTCAAAATTTCAGTGTTTATTAGAGATAAATTTTTGAATGTCATTTTAAAAATTTTTCTTAAATATATTTTTATATTTTAAATATATTTTTAAATGTTTAGAATTTTAAAAAATCTCTTTAATTTAGAATAATTTGTCTGTGTGTAACAGCTATACATTTTTTTAATGCAATATATCTTATTCTAAATTTTTGCTTTTTAATACTCATGTTTGAAATTTCATTTTTGTTTCCAGAACCAACAAACATGTTGGATATGAAAGCCATTATTTGGCTTGAAAATTATCTACAGGTGAGATTTACCAATTATTGTTTTTTGTTTTTCTTAAAAATCATTGAGAAACTGTTTAGTTTAATTAGATATTATGGTATGTTTAAGCAAAATGAATACTTGCATCATGGCAATTTGTGTGTTTTTTTTTTTGTTTTTTTTTTTTTGTTTTTTTTTTTTCAGCTTTGTATTATTCAAAACTACATGCTAGAACCATTTCATATTACAAAGTAAATCTCATGATTATACTAAGACAGCCAAAATATGTATGGGTTTATTTTGTAATTACAATGTGGTTAAACGTGGCTCACCATACAGATGCTATTGCTTAAACAATAATGTTAATCTTTAAATACATGTAGCTTAAAGATGATTTTACATTCTGTTTATAATGATATTTTTAGAATATTTTATAGTTTATTTCATTCAAATTTCAGCTGTCTCTTAAATAAACTCTATCTTTTGTCCCCCTCCTCATTTCTTTCCAGACGTGGGCAACGACCATTTTGGTTGTATCCCATGATCGTCAATTCTTAAATGCTGTTGCTACGGACATCTTCCATTTGCATAGTAATAGAATTGATTCATATAAAGGAAACTATGAAATCTTTCGCAAAACCAGAGAGGACCGATTGAAAAATCAACAAAAAGAATATGAGGCTCAACAGCAATATAGAGAACATATTCAGGTTTGTGATTCTCCTTAAGTTTGTTTCATGATGTTTTTTTACTTCAGGCCAAGTTACAGGGCAGCTGAAGTACATTTCATACACCTTATCAGATTAAATATATTGAATTTAATTATATGACATTTAACTTTACGTAACGACATTCTTAATGATTTTTCATTCATTTTATAATATAAAGTATTATGTTTGCTCCTATTTTATATTTTTTTTATGGTAAGCTAAACTAAAATTCTACATATTTTTTGTTTTGTTTTAAATAGCTTTTAGAAAGAAAAACACAAATTACTCATAAAAAATAAATTGTATCAATATACAGCTCACCTGAAATTATTATGTAAATAATATAAATTTCAACAACTCAGTCCAGAACCAATATTTGCCATTTCCAGCCTTTGTAAAATATCTAAATTTTTAGCCATTTTTAATTGTTATATTTGGAGATATTTGGAATTTACAAAAATGAACTGACCAAAGTTATTATGCAGATTAAACTAATATTAGTTTAAAGCCTCTGAAATTTAATAAAAACTTCTTTTTTTTTTTTTTTTTTTTTTCTGTATGCCAAAATATGGGTAATGGAAAGGATCTAACAAATGCTGAAGGACAGAAAATAACTTAAGTTATTGAGTTAAAGAATGTCCACATTGGAAATATCAAAGGAGCTTTGCAGAGATCAGCAAACAAAGAGGGCTTTTGAAAATATAACTAAGTTGAGAACTAGAAACCAAATGTCCATATCTTTGCTGATGTTATCATGTTTCTGCAGTTGTGCCCTTTGGCCTTTATCAGGTGTATATTGATCCAGGTAACCTGCAGGGAATTCCAAAACACCCTTAAAAATGAACCAATGAAACTTAATTGCTGTGATGCTTGCTTTAAGAGAAGTCTTGAATATTGGGAAATTTTACTTCAAGTAATAAAAATAATCTTTTATTTATTTATTCCTAAAAACTGACATATCTTGGGTAATCATATCACCTTTTCAGTATTGGATATTTTCATTTAAAAACTTGGTGTCCTTAAATAGATATATTTAGCCATCCCATGTGGTGAACGGCAATAACATTGCTTTTCTTTCTCCTCTCTGGTCTTTTGAACAGGAGTAGAGGTTTATCCCTTGTTTCCTGTTTTAGGATTGGGTTTCTGGTTCTTTCTAAAGTATTTTAATTCTCTTTCACTCCCAGTAGACTCTTGCATTTTAATGGCTTTATCACCTTGCTTGGGATGAATTGATTAAAAAAAAAATGTTTGACTGTTAAGGAAAATACTTCAATATATAAATTAACAAACATTTTTTTTTTCCATTAAATGTATTGTCAATAAATTGCTTTTGCTTCCTTTTTGGAAAACAATCCAACTTTTTTTTTTCATTCCCTACAGATTTTCATTGATCGATTCCGGTATAATGCCAACCGTGCTTCACAAGTTCAGAGTAAATTGAAACTTCTTGAGAAATTGTAAGTTAGCATTGTGTTATAACTCACGCCTAGCAGTTATAATATATCTTGCTTAGGCTACTTGCTATGACGTCTGTTAGAAATACTCCTGACTATATCCAATGGACTACCCCAACTCACTTGGAGTTCTTTATTTAAGGCATCTTGCCTAGTTCATTTTTGTTACTGGGGGTGTCTTATTTACTCCACAACACATTGTTAAAACAAAAAAAACATGTATACACTCTTTTTTTTTCTTATTGAAAATAGTGTCCTAACTGATCCACCCACCAAATGACTAATGGTCTGTAATTATTCTTAGCCAGATTTATAATCGATAAATTGCCCAAGGTTACTAAAGAATGACTTACTGAAATTTTTATTTTTTTTTTTTTTTTTTTTTTTTTTTTTTGTAAAACTGGTGTTCATAAAATGTTGGATTATAAAACAAATCCAAAATTGAATTATTAAAAGAGAATAAAAAAAGATTTAATTTAGGATAAAATTGTAAATGTTTGTCCATTTATTTTATTTGTGCAGACCAGAATTGAAACCTGTGGAGAAAGAAACAGAAGTTATTTTGAAGTAAGTTCCTTTTATTTATATATATATATATATATATATATATATATGAGATGTGGTTTAACAAAAAAAACCCGACATTTTTCATTTTTGTTTTTATATCACTACTGAGTGACCATATTAAAAGAAACACTATTGAAAAAGACTTTTAGATGTTAATAAAATTAAATTTATCAACATTTATACCAATTTAAGAGAAAAAGATTGAACAAAAATGTTAAAAACATTTAATTGACTAGTTTTAGGAAATAAATGTGAAATCTATTTGTTTACAAAAGAAATGAAGAAAAAAAGGAAATACAACATGATGTCTGAAATCTATTTGTTTCAGTTTTCAAAAAAAAAAAACTTTTTGCATTAAAATTAAGTTAACAACAAAATAGTGCATAAAAAGAAAAAAAAATTAGTTGCCAGTTTAGTCTTAATGTTAAATTTTATGAAGTCAGATTTTTCTGTAGTAAAGGTAATTGTTTTAGTAAGCCAGTGTTACACCAATCATGAAATGAAGTTGTTATAAACAAGAAAAATGAATGAAGATTTTTTTATAAATAAATTTGTTTTTTTTATCAAGGGTATGCACCTAAATGAGATATTAAGAATAATTAAAACCGTTTTTAATTTCACTTTTAAGATGTGTATGTTTCCAGCTATGTGAGTCTGTTTTCTACAAATAAAATTGTTTCTATCTAGCAAATACGCATAAAATTAGATATTAAAAAAAAAAAATTGTTTTAATCTTGGTTTTAAAATATGTATATTTTCAAAACTGCAATCATTTTTTTTTAAACCCAAAATAAAAAAATTTTTTTTTTTTTAGCTACTAGTGTTCAGTAGGTGTTTGTTACTGTTCTGCCTATAAAATTCTTCTAAACAAGGAAAATTCATTTTATTTTTACAAATATCTTTACTATATGGTTTTATCTGGCAAATAATACACTTATAATTATATTAAAATGATTAAAATAGTTTTTTAATTTCAGTTTTAAAATGTGTATCTAAAAACAGGCAATACTCACAGATTTGGAAATCTACACATTCTAAAAATGAAACTAAAAGCTTTTAATTATTTTTAATATTTAATTTTATGTGTATTTGCTAGATAAAAAGATAAATGTATTTAGAGGGAAAAATAACTCCTTGAAATTTATTTGCAAAAACCCCAATAATAGTTGGCCAGCATACCAGAAAAGAATAGCCTTTTTTCTTTATTTTCTCTTTTTTTTTTTTTTTTTTTTTTTTTTTGCTTACTTTATAATTTTTGGAGGAAATTGCTTTCTTGGGGTCAGAGAAGAAATGAACATCTTCCTTATTGTAGTTTAAGGTGTCTTCTAATTGAATGTACAATTTCAAGAATATTGATAAAGATCGGTCACTTTAATTTTGCGAAACAAAGTAATGTGTAAAATGTAGACTTGAAAAAAAAAACATTTTGCATTTTTGGAAGCAATACCGTTTTAATTTGCTATAATAAAATAATTCAATGAATAAAAGCACATGCAAATTGCATATTTAGAAAGATTATATTATTTTCTTTCCAGCCATATGAATATTTTTAAGATTGGACCAGAAATACACAAGATATTGCGAGTTGAACGAATTAAATCTTATTAATCTCAAACAAATCAGATAACTGAAAATGTTATTACACAAGAAAATGAATGGCTTCCACTGAAAGCAAAAATACTAAATTAAAAACCCAAAAACCAAACCAAAAACTGTGGTATCAAGAAAAACAAAACCAGAAACTGATACCGAAACATAAATTGCCAAACCAACCAACTGTAATCTTTATCTCTCTCCTCTCTCTCTCTCATATATATATATATATATATAAAAATGTCTTGTGTTATTGTTCTATTCATAGTAAAATCATTTATGCTTGTGCATTTGGCTGTTTGTCATTGTTGCTACTGTAAACTGCTGGACATTTTGAATAATACCTTTAACATTTGATTAAAATAAAGTATTATTTCTATCCCATAATTTTTTTTTTTTTTTAAAGCCATGTCCTTTTTGGGACATAAACAATCATGGCTCTCCACATATTCAATTTTCTTTATCTGTAAATTGCTATGACGACTTAGGAAAGATAATAGAATGATTTCCCCTTTGTCTTTGCCACATTTTGGAATTCAGAGTTTTTTTTTTTTTTCTTAGACTCGTCTATGCTGCTATTTAACTCATAATGAGAGGAAGAACAGCTGGATTTATACGGTTTTCAAAAGGCATTAATGCAAAAATGAATGCAACAAGCTAGATTGGAATTTGAATACGGCTTGCCAATAACCCACACATCTCTTGTTCCATAACAGTTGTTACATTTAGTTTATGAAATTTGTATGCAAAGATCACAACCTTTTATAGGGTAAAGGTAGTAATTTTTTTCTTTTGTATTGTCTGTGTCTACTAACCAAGGAAAACCATTTATTATTCATTTTTCTTTCAGATTTCCTGACTGTGATAAACTCTCACCCCCAATCCTACAACTTGATGAAATTGACTTTTATTATAACAAGGATAAAATCATCTTCAAGAATATTTGTGTTAATGCTTCTATGGAGTCCCGGATTTGTATTGTGAGTTTTCTTATGCATTTTTAGCGTTTTTTAAGTGTTTTTTTTATTGTTTTTTTTTTATTTTTTTTTTTATTATTAAGATATTATCACCAAGAGCTGATCCATCATCATCAGTTCTTTCTTTGACTGCTTCAGTCATTGGAAGGGACCTAAGCACAGAAGAAATAGACAAAAAAGAAGGGTCTCTTTTGAAACAGTAAAAAAAAAAATCTAATTTTTTTTAACAGTTATAAATATTTCTAAATATAAACTTTCTCTGAGAGTATCTTTGTGGTGTTATGATGCCTATTTTATATTTCATCTTTATTTTAAAGTTAAGCATTTACTGTAACTGTTACATGAAAACTTATGTTTATAGAACAGGTAAAAACCCTTAATTTTAAGAATAATGTATACATGCATCCAAGGGATTTGCTTTGGTTGTTAGTAGTTAAGAATTTATTTTTACTATTGTAAAACAAAATTGGATTTTTTATTTCTTCTCTAATCATAATGTTCCTGTTCATTTTATGTTATAAAAGAGGGTGATGAAAATTCCACAGCCTGGCCCAAGCACCAAACGTTTTTTTCAGGCAGAGATCTTTTCAGCTATGTCAGAAAAATTATAGGAAATATTTTTTTTCTTTTAATGAATATTTCACTATAGACCAAACTTTGAAATAATTACTATCAATTAATTACTATTTTGTTAATTTTGAGAAGTAGATTGGGCCAAGAATTTTTTCAGTACTCCCTTGTATATATAAAAAGTTGTTTTTCCCCCCCTTCACTTTTTTTTTTTTTTTTTGTAATTGCAGAGCCAACAAATAGTGATAATTACTTGAACAGTTGGTTTGTAGTGAATTATTCATTAAAAGATCAAAAAAATATTTCTCCCAGTTTTTGCTGTAGTTGGTTTATTGTATATTTAATTAATGTGTTTCTCATTGAATAATATGACTTGAATGTTTTCAGGTTGGAGAAAATGGTGCTGGTAAGACTACTCTGTTGAAGATTCTTTTAGGAGAACTTAATCCAGTTCGGGGTCTACGAAATGCACATCGAAACTTAAAGATTGGCTACTTTAGCCAACATCATGTTGACCAGCTGGAAATGGATGTGTCATCTGTAGAACTGCTGGCATTAAGATTCCCAGGTAAGCATTGATAACCATATTCTTAAAGTTACATGTTATCTGCACCAATGTTTCCTTTTCCTCTCTTTTCAAAATGGCAACAATCCAAGAAGAGACTGACAAATTTCTAATCTAGTTTCTTAATATTTCTTTCAACAAGACTGATTTTGTATCATAATTACAATATTTACTTTGTTTTAGCTTAACTTTTGTTTTTATAATATCTGATGGCATATAAGATATTTTTAAAGAAAAATCACTCACTATTGTAGGCAATAATTTTACTTCACTCACATCTACTTAGCCTGACTCCATAATAATGTCATTTAAATAATAATTATCACAATGAAGTATAATACTACTATTATTATAATTATTATTATCTTCTTCATAATAACACATTATTAATGACATTTGTTGTTACCAGCTGATCTTTCATACCTAAGTATGCTTGAACATTGTCCTACCAGGAAACTACAGAAAAAAGAGACTTAGCTGAAAGGAAATACCAGTAATGGTAAAATACTGACCTAGAAAATATTAATTCTGTGGAGAAATACTGGGGTCTTCAAAAGTAGGTACACAATAAGTAATTTTGCACACACTGTCCATCATACAGAACAGACAAAGAATATTGTCTAGTGAAGGGATGGGTGTTAAGCTGTACTCTTAGCTTGCTTTTTATATACAGTAATGTTTTCTGCTATAGCAAAAGTCATTTTGTAAGATACTGATAGCTTTAAACATTACAATAATAATATATCTCTACATCCCTCTGTGTCTCCGTCTCTCTCATCCCTTCTCCCTGCCTCTTCCATATTTATATATATACACACACACACACACACACACACACACACACATATATATATATTTGTTTGAATTTCTGGGATGAGGAGCTGTCATCTACACCTCATCTTTGTCATCATTACATTTTGGCCTTTGTGCCCTCTGACCTTCTCAAGGTTTTTTTTTTTTATTGGAATCCTTTATTATATTTGTGAGGGCAGATTGTTCTCTTTGCCACTGTCCTGTTTCCATTGAATCTATATCTGCACTGCCTGACCCAGAGATTGAATTTTTTACTATGCCACCAAATTCATGAACCAATTGTCTTATTGGACAATTCTGAACCTATAACTAGGAGCCTTAAAACCTCCTGTTTTCTTGCTCTGCTGTTGCTGCCCTGCTGTTAACTGTTAAGTCACATATGAAGGTAGTCAAGTATAACAATAAAGCATTAACATACCTGAAGATTTGTTGTTATAACAAAAAATATGAGGACAGTTGTCACTGTAAATAAATATATTTTTGTCTGATCCCTGTCTAATTGTTTGTATATTTTTTTTTTAATAGTCAGCAAATGTGCAAATATAAAACCTTGTACAATTAAAGTTGGTTTTAAATCCTTGAAAAAGTAAGTATTGTGAAATTAGAGACAATTTGTCAATGAAACCGGGCATTTTGTTCACTTTGAAAAATTGTGCATTATTTGATTTTTAATTGATAGTTTTAATTATTTTTAGGTAAACCAATTGAACAGTACCGATCAATATTGGGCTCATTTGGTATAACGGGAGAACTGGCAACTCGATCTGTAGCTACTTTATCTGGAGGTCAGAAAAGCAGAGTGGCATTTGCTGCAATGAGTTGCTTACAGTAAGTACATATTTACCGTCTCAGTTGTACATCTGTATGTGAAGCTAAACAAATTGGTAAGTTTAAGCTGCAACTCTTTATTGAGAAATAGAAAATTTACATAAAGTAGTAATTGTTCAGTATTGTACCTAAATTTTATTTGAATGGAATGTGTGTGTTCCATGTTCCCATAAAATAGGGAAAATAACAGTTTCCAGTATAGCAAGATAATATATAAATTTACATGCTCTCAAGTATTAATGTTTCTCTTAGGTCAAGAAATCTTAACCTTGTTAATGTTTTTGTAATTTTTTTTTTTAACAGTCCGAACTTCTTCATTCTTGATGAACCTACAAATCACTTGGACATGGAAACGATAGAAGCCCTTGGCAAATCTCTTCATAAATTTCAGGTAAGTAATGGCATCGGGATCCATAATTAGTTTTTACGTTTTTACCAATACAAAAAAAAAATTATATCATCACAGTATGTTATTTTTAAAAATATCAAAGAAAAAAAAAATTAAATAAGTTGGAAAATCTTATGCAGCTCAAATAACTTAATTATTTGCAAACATCTATTTTGTACAAGTATAGTACTGCTAATACTACACGTATTTTTTTTTTTTATTTCTTTTTCAGGGAGGAGTGATCTTGGTATCTCATGACGAGAGACTAATTCGTTTGATTTGTAATGAGCTTTGGGTTGTCCAGAACGGAACTGTATCTAGTCTAGAAGGAGGCTTTGATGAGTATAAACAGATTGTGGAGAAGGAGCTACAGGTCACCCTATGACCTGACCCCCTCCCACCAAATTTGCATAATTGTTTGCTTGCCGACAAAAAAAAATAAAACCCTGAATGCAAACAAACTAGACAGTAACAAAGGCAAATTGCTTTGTTTAAATGTTTATAAGCAACTGTAATAAAAATTCTATCATCTTAATCTTTTTTTTCTTTTGTATCAAACCAATCTCCATATCCTAGGAAATTGCTTGCTTAATATTTAAACTGGGAAATATATACCCCAGCCTTTTGGGTTAGTGCAAAAGCTGATATCAATTTCTTAGAATTTTTCATGTTGTAAAATGACTGATATTTTAAAAACTATTTAATAAGATGGATGCCATTTCCTGCCTCCCAGTTTTTTTTTTTCTTTTCTTCCTGCCCCATCTTTCTTCTTCTCAGTTTTTGCTTTCTGCTAATGTTTTTATTGCCTCTTCATTTTCATGGAAGATGTTTGTGGAATATTTACGATAGATTTCCTCTGGTTGAAAAATGATGTTCTCCTCTTCATCCACAAAGTAATGTCGGAAATATTTCATACACAAGAGGTAAATTCCATTGGCAAGAATCAGGAAAAACATGACGATGATCCACTGGAAAGAGAAGTGAAACGCACATTGTGATATAAAGTAAGATTTATAATTGGATTAATGTATGAAAGAATATTTTTTTAAATGTGGACACTCACCTCCGAAAACAATTTGAGCTTATTGACATCCGGTGGTTCTCCAATGATGATGACACACAACCACCAAATAACAAGAATCGTGATTTCCAAAGGGCAGATAACTCTACAGTTATAACGAAAATATTTTACATTTAGACAAAAACAGACTCTTTTTGCTTTTTAGTACATTAAAACGTTACAAAGTGAATATAACTGAAAATTGTTTTTAAATAATGCTGGATATATTTTGGATGATTAAATACGAAATGGAAAATTCGAAGGGATTTTGTAATGTGGAAAGCTAAAAGTCAAGAGAGCTAACTTTGGAATCTTAAAAGATAGCAATCCCTTGAATATTGCTTGTTAAATGTTTCCCCACCTTTTTTTTTTTTTTTTTTTTTTGCAGATACTTAAATCTCTATGGTTCCGAATAACCTGTTTAAATTCAAGCCATTATTCAGTAATTGGGCCGAGCAAAAATGATGTAAAAGATTTAAAAGTTGTGTGCCTTGGTTTTCATCTGAATAAGATGTAAGCTAAATGTAATTGTTGGCCCTCACCCCCCCCCCCCGAAAAAAATATCAAGTGGTTAAGCCTCTGTGTGTATGTGCGTGCGCGCCCGCGCTCTCGCATGTGTTGTTACAAGCATTAGAGTGTAAGAAGGTTAGCTGACATTGTTTCCCGCCAGCTCAATAGATTCTAATTAGCAGCAGGGGGCTTGTTACCTGTAGATTAAAATTCAACTTTAGAGTTCAATTACCTCCCTTGCCAGTTTGAATAAAGAATTGTTTCCCTTAATGTTTTTTTTTCCTTTTTTTTTTTTGTATATTCTACTGATGTCCTACTTGGCAAGATTTAGATCTTCAATGTTTTTGACTTAAAAGCCATGTGTTTGATGATCGTTTGCATAAAGATGTTAAGTTATTGCTTATGACCAATGAAGATATGTTTTCAAGAGAATTATAAATGTATTAAATAAAAAAAATAAGTTTAAATGAATTTTTTTTTCTTAAATAGCTATAGATAAAAATGGCCACATACTTGATCATGTAATCCCATGCTTTTGGTAAGTGCCAGTCATTTTTGAAAATGTTAATAATTTTCTCTCGAATGTGATCAGTTCCTATTCCTAATGCAATTGTGATAAACATAAGTCCGCTCATTGTTGTCCCGAAGGTCCAAGTGTAATCCTGAAAATCATAAGAGGGAATGACAAAAGAACAAAGCAAAAGACACAAAAAGAGAGAGAAAAAAACTGATAGTGGGGGAGATTATCAATTGGAGTGCAAGGGGTTGCAGAATGTGTCAGCTAAATAATAATGATAAACTCTGTCGGTCATACTGGTTAGAGCTTTGATAACCTAACTGAGTGGTGTCTGGATTTCATGGTGTTAAGACAATTGATGGATTGTTTTTGTGTAAGTTTTAATACAAGACTGAAAAACATTTGAAAACTGCTATTACTGTTGCAACAATGAAGAATCTTCTTTGAGATTTCTTTTACATGCTGTTTTTTTTCAGCAGAGAATAAAGCTAAGTCCCATGGAGAGTTCAAAATAATTTACAGACCTCATTTGTTTATCTAACTCTGATTTCCTTCAAAAGACAAAACTTTTAAAAAAATGTCTTCCAATCCTGTAATAAAGCAAGTTTAAAAAAAAACTGTTTTCTGAAAAACCTGATATGTGATACAAAACTGAAGTCCCTACTGAGGAATTACCAATAAACCACTAGAACCCAGAGATGACATGCAAAGGACACGAATGACGAGGTGAAAATTAAAGTTTGGGAGATAAAACTATAAACTGTTTACCTGTCCCCACAGGAAGCTTCTGTACAGGGTTGATGGTATTCCCATCAAAAATATTGCACAACTGATAACAACAATGCCAATCACACGTTTACCTGCAATGAATAGATGTAAGACAGACATAATAAGAGCAGTTAAATCAATAAATTAACAAAAAATCTGCTATAAAAACAATAAGTCTGGTGGTTAAATATACAAAAGATTTATTTTTAACTGGTAATGACCAATTTTACTTTTCTATAAAGAAAACTCTGAGTCACTTACTATGGAACAATATCATTTGAACAATTTGGTCATGATTAAGATTATCTGATTCAGAATGTACTGACCTTTACTGTAAATGCTCAATTTAGTACCCAAGGCACTTACTTTAAAAAATTAAAAAAAAAAAAAAATGAAATTTTCATATTTTATTTAATAAACATTTCAAAAGAATTTTATGTGGGTTGTATAAGAATAAAAATGGTGTCACTATTTGGACATGTTCCTTAGGAGCATTTCTGAATTGATAAATCAATTTATTGAAGCAAATAGTGACAATCATCTCAAAGCAACAGTTGTCATATTTCAAAAAGAAGTGAGCTAGAACTTTAGCAAAGTATGCAGCAATTTTTGCTTTTCCAACCTTCAAAAAAAGTCAATTCTGACACTTATTTTAAATTCCTTGGGGAAAGGATGCGCTTAGTTGAGAAAGGATGCAAAATCAAGTATTTATAGTAAGTACCACCACTGAATTTTTGATACTTAAAGTTTAAAACAATTTTTTAAAAATGAAAAAGCATTCTTAAAGATTTTGTTTTAGCTTTAATTGAAAACTAAATGATTAAATTTACTATTTCCAGTAACCAAAATACTCTGGTATATTTCAAAGAAAATATACTTTTCTGAAACTTTATTTGAGGAATATTAGTTGATTTAAAGTATAATCTGATTTGAAAAAAATATTTACTTCAAAACAATGGAGAAATGGATTTTTAAAACAAATGGTAGTTGTGATTAGGTGCTTATCACTGTCACTGATAGATCACTCGACAAGTGATGTTAAAATCTGTCAACACCTTTACTGTTGTTCTATGGAGACTTTATCTGTTAAAACATAATTTAAGAAAATGATGGGTGAACATCTTTTTTATATAATTTTTAAATGGTCAGTAATCTTAAAAATATTAGAAAATATTCTCCATAATCTAATTTTAGGAATGTTGAATTTAAATTTACTGTAGTGATCACTCTCATTTTCTGATTATGTCATATATGGTTAACCATACTTTCAAACAGGAGCAAGTTATGTAATATTTCATATACATAAAAAAAAAAATAATTTAAAAAAAAATATTGGGTGTAAATGACTTATTATGCTTTTCAATGTTTGATTTATAAATATAGTTTTCACTTAATAATATCACCTTGCCAGGTTGAAGTAATGCAGAATTTTAAATTTATTATATTATAAATTATTATAATTAAAATTCTAAAAAATGAAAACAATTCCTATAAAAATTCATTATTCATCAAAAAAATTTTTTTTCTTAAGGCAATAGTATTTTTTTAATAAATCTTATCTATAAAAGTAATTAAAAAGCTTTTCTAACTAAATGTCATTTAGTTTTTTTTTTTTTTTTTTTTTTTTTCAGAGCAGATTGTTGGGAAATGATTAGTAGTTTGTAAATCATTATTTTTTTTTTTTTTTTTTCCCCATTATTTAACTAAAACAAATTTTGGGATTCCAATCTATTTCTCAAAATTTCATGAAATTAAGTGGGGGTAAAAAAAAAAAAAAAACAAAAAAAAACACAAATTGCAAGAGTAATTTAATTAATTTGTGAATAAGTCCTGAAAGTTTCATTAAAATGCAAAACTTATTTGATTTTTGTAAGAATTTCCAAATCAATGTGTTTTTCACCAGAAAAATGCACAAAAACACTAACTGTAAATATTATGTTGACTGCTGATGTAAAAAAAAAAAAAAAAGATTTTAACAAAAATTTCAAACATGCTAGAAAGGATTCAAAAATTTAATAAAATAATAAAAATACTTTGTTCTTTCCTCTTAATTATAACATAAACATTTTGATGATAAAACTTTGTTTTTATTAAGTTTTGGACCTTTTCTCATTATGCTATGCTGTTTTCAGCAAAAAAGTGGAGGTACCTAATTTGTTGTATTTAAAGAATAGGTGAAGCTACAAAAAGGTATTGGGTGTTTTCTGTAACAGTAAAGTTATCCAACATTAAACAAATACCTACCAAGATTTTACCATGGTGGTAGGAGAAGGAAATGATTACTAGTAAGTGGGAGGTTATATCATTTTCAGCATGGATAAATGTTACATCTACTTACACGCAAATACATTTGAGAAAGGTATGAATCCATTTCTTCTCCCCAGCTATGGATTAAATAACATAACTGGGTTCTATAGCCTTGGTTGACAAACATTCTACTGCAGCAAATAATGGCAGCCTAGTTTTATATGCTCACTGAAATTAAGCAACATGGTGCCTGATCAGTACCTAGATGGGTGACTGCTTGGGAATACCAAGAGCTGTAAGCTTAGATATACGGGTGGTGCAGTGGATAATTACTCGGAATTTTTAATCAGAGAGCTAAGTTCCATTTCCTGTTTGGATTTGTTATATTCGCCTATGTGCAAATACCCTTGAGAAAGGTATGAATCCACCTCTTCTCCCCCATCTATGGATTAATTAGTAAGACTAAATCATTACTATCTCTAATAAGATAAAATCTTACAGTTTAAATAATCTGCAATGGTTTGATGAATCAACCAAACTAAACAATTCCAGATTATGATTGGAGTTCAAGGACAGATGACAATGTTGATATTAGTCAGCTGTAAACCATTATTTGACTTATTCTTTTCCATTGAAATAATGCTATTGTTAAAAAGAACAAGCAGGTGTAATTTTACAAAACTCTTCTTCTGGTGTTTTATGAGTCATGGAAGAAAAGTCACACGGTACACTTCATTTTGGTTAGAAAAAGGCACAGGAAGAAAAATTATAGTTTTGATAATTTTAGCAATGAGTCGTTTATTAAAATTCTAAGTTTTAAATTAACCCTGATTTTAAAACTCTGCTGCCTTGCCGTCATCTCCAAAACATGGAAAAGGCCATGGAAGTAAATCCAGACAGAAAATCCGGCTCTCGACATTGATAACCTTCGAGCAACTCCTATTGTTAAGCTGTCCCCAACGTTCTTTATTCCTTTGGATCTTGTCTGAATAGCCAAGATGGGGTGTGATATGTGACCTAGGAAGTGCACAGCCTCCATCGTCCATGTGGGCGCCTTTAGTCTCACTATCAAAGGACTGAATTTTGACTAAACAGTTACTTTTTTTTCATGAGATAAACGGATGCCTACTAATGTTTTTTATTAAGAGACTATTGTGTCTATAAAAATACATAAAATTTAATTATGCTGTCAATTTGTCATGTCCATAAAATATAGATAAAAATAATTACATTGTCAAAAATAATTATAATAAAATAATTATAACAATTATAATTAATTCACTCACTGGAAAAACATCATTCACATGAGAATCGACCCCCTCTATACACACACACAAAAAGGTGACATTCTCATTATTGAACAAGCAGTTCACACGGACAGGTCGTTAACACGAAAGTCAACGAAAATTTTGTCTTTCCTTTTCAGATCATAATAGTAGCATTTATCTTTTTAGCACTCAACAAAAATTCGAGGTAAGAACACCCCAGACACTTGTATTTGCCCAACTAAATTACCTGGGCACTCATTAAATACATATATATAATAAATAAAAACTACGAGAAAGATTGTATACTGTCGGATTCCGATCCCTTCTACATTTAACCCCAATTTTACTCAGCATTAATGTCTCCAACACCCCATAATAACCAGAATAATAAATAATATTTGTTTTGTTATTTCCACGTCTTGCTGTTTTTCATTTTTATGAATTTGATACTCAGTTATAACTCGTCTACATAATAAATGAAATTAAACACGACTTCTAGTTTATTAAAATATTATTTACGATAAATAAAGATTTAGTTTATTAAAAATAAAATATTAGCTATTTTATTACTATGAAAATAAATTACTTATTTCATTTAAAATCCTACCGATTTTAAATGGAAATATTACTTGTTTTCGTCATAACTTCTTCCTTATCCACAAAAAGTGATGACTATTTTCGGTGATTTCTTCAATGCAATGCCAGTTCTTCAAAAGACGTTTGGAAAATATATACTAATACTCACGACCAAATTCCATATAAATTCCAAGTAATACTTCTATCGAGGATATCATTTGTGAAATTCCTCCAACGGTTAAGGACAGAAAGAAGATAATGGCAAGGATACGACCAAACGTTCCATCCTTCATATACAGCATCGGAGCCCTGTTAAGTAAAACACACAATAACATTTTAACTTTCTCAAGTCGACAGAAAACAAATATCGGATTTATTTTTATCCTTAAGCAACAAATCCATTTTTACAAAAACCAGAAATGGAATTCAACACGTTTCAAATTGGAAATTCAGAGATAAAAAGTATATTTTGAATATTCTTTCAGGTTTTGCTTTCTTTTTCTTTTTTTTCCCCTGAAAAATTTAGTTTCTGAAGCGAACGATAAGAGACAAAAAATTCATAATCATTTTATTTGTATTTACAAATTTCAGCACTTTTTTTCTACAGTAATTTGAAAATGGCATTTTCTTTGTAATTGTTGGATATTATTCATGTGATATTTAATCTATATTTAGAAAATCTGCTTTAACAGTCTTTCTTGTGTATGTGTGTGTGTGTGTGGGGAGGGATCGCCCCACTCTCTTACTCTTGCGGTGCGATGGATAAATTGTCGACTAAATTACGCAAAAATGAAAATAACACTGACATCTCGTTCTAACTGATGTATTTTAGCAAAAATATCTTTGAAATACTAAAGAGTAAATTTCAAAACTATCTTGATAGACTTGTGTTTAGGAATTTTTCTAAGGGGAATATAACTAATAATTACTTGACGAATATAACGTGAATGCCTTTTTATATAACTATCCAGTAATCTTAAAAATTTAGGAAAATATTCTCAGTAATCTAATATTTTATTGAATTTTAGGTATTTTGGCTTTATAGTCTTACTTCCGAAGAGGCTTGTTGAAGAAATGTTAGAAAATTAACAATAAATTTTAAATTTGCCGCTTTTATTTTCTAATAATGGCGTCATTAACAAAAATCGGCGCATTTATACATACAGAGAAAAATTCTTTTTAAAATCTAGGAGTTACTGAATTGTAGTAAGTTTTTCCATTTATAATTAGTAAATATAGTAACTGGGTGTTTTGTTTGACACCCCCCCCCCCAAAAAAAAAACTTTGATGACCTCCAATGACTTGTGCTTATAACTAATAGCTGAACAGAAATTAATTTTTCGAAATTTTACAAAGTTAAATAAGTATGGGTTAACTGATGTAAAAAAAAAAAAAAAAAATTACCAAGATATTCTAAAATCGTAACGTGTCTAAAATAATTAATTTTTTAATAAGTTCTGAAAGGTTCATTAAAAGCCGACAATTATCTGCTTTTTGCAAGAATTTCCAAATCAATGTGTTTTTTTTACTGCAGAAAGACACTAAATTTCTCAAACTAATGGTTACCCACCCACGCAAGAAAAACATAATTTTCAACCAAAACTTTGAAGGTTCTAAAGAAAATTTAAAAAAATATAATTTAATAATAAAAAATTCTTTGGTCTTTCCTCTTAAAGATGTTGACGTTAAAACTTAGTTTTTATTAAGTTGGACATTTTATCATCATGCATGCTCATTTTTAGCGAATCTTTGGAGGTGCCTAACAACATATTTGAATTCGAACGCTTTTTTTCGTTTTATTTTGAATGCATTTCTAAAAGTTAAAATATGAGTCTGCTTTGCTTTAAACAAATATTAACACGGTATTTAAGAGGGAGTATTCTATTGTTTTGTTTGAAATGCAGAGCTTAATAACCGAAAAAATATAAAAGGAATAAAACGAGGATAAAGCAAAAGAATAGTAATTCGAATGAAACGTTAAAAAATATTTTTTCTTGTGTGATGTCGAATTAAAATTGGTTAAGAGTCTACTTACCAAATATACATAAAAGATTCGTAATTATAACGATCGTAGATACCAACTAATGTTTGATGAGAAGTTGCAAATGGTTCAAAGCTAACTGTTGCCATGGCACTGATGAACAGCATTATCCCAGCCAGGAGACTTGAATGAAATAAAGAAATAATAAAAATAGTTGAATTTGATAGTTGATTTTTTTTTTTTTTTAACAAAAATGATGGGTAAGTTTCTTTTGAAGCCCCGCGCTAAATATCTAATAAAAAAAATCCCAAATAGTTATATTTAGGTGTAAATTTACATGCTTTATTCGAAAATAACAAAGAGTTTGATAAAATCTACCGTTTTGGAATTATCGACAATAAAAGTTCGGACTCATTCGCGTTGCGGTAGCCATTACGGGCGTTGTTTGCATATATTTGCTACGGAATAGACATTAAATTATCTTGATTATTGCGCGCGCAATGAGTCCTCAGTTGCGTAGTAATTGAGATAAGTAAGAACCATAAAAAGGCCGTTAACAAGGTAATCTTCCGCGCAAATCTTATCAGCAGCGAATGTATGCAAAAAACGCCAGTAATGGCTGCCATGCCGTAACCCGAATGAGTCCAAAACGGTAGATTTTATCAAAATTTCTTTGTTATTTTCGAATTAAACATGTACATTTACACCTACATATGAACTATTCGGGAAAATTTTATTAGATAATTAGCGCGGGGCTTAAAAAGCAAATTACCCAAAATGATCAGTGGAAAATGTCATGAAACTATTTCTGACCTTAGGTCTCTTGTTGGGACCCAGAAGGAAATAGGTATACAACAGAAATTCAAGGAAATAATAATAATAATGTTGATGATGATAATGTCTGGAAAACCTTTTTTGCAAGCGTTCTCAAAAATAGTATTCATTGACATTACCCACCAAAGGAGAACTCTTTCGACATACAAACTGACAAGATGTGGCTTAAGATTTTGTGCATATTTTTCTTTTACACATTTGTTTTGTAGATAAAGTTTGATTGTAAATAATTTTATCTTTAAGTTAAAAATTTCCTTTTCAAATTGGCAACAACGCCTACGTATTATTGAAAACCATCTTCCCATCCAAATCAGAAATGCTCTCTGGAACCTATCCCGTGACGACGTTGGTTATAAATACGTAGTAAATCTTCACTCTTTCTCTTTTTACCTTCTCTCACACAGACAAAATGTAACGTTAGAGAGATTTCGTTTGACGCCGTTGAGGCAGACGCTATCACGCACGCACACGTATGTACGAACATTGCACATCTCTGAACTAATCTCATTCACTCCTTAAACAGAAACTTATTCAACTTTACAACTTTAGACTCTTGTCAATATTCACCAGCGAGAAATATTACTTCAAAATCTCATGGAGATACTTAAATCCACATAATCTCAGCTTTCCAGAATTCTCTCAATAATATTCAACCATGGTTTCTCGAGACTAATGGATAACACACACACACAGATGAGGTCGAAATTTGAACTCAGCTCGCTGAATCCACTTTCCGCTATTTAATTCAGCTGAAACATTGAGGTAATAAACTATCAAAAAAAAAACTACACTAAAGATTAAGAAAAATACGTAGAATGAATTTGATACAAAATACATTGGATCAAAATGGGCAGACAACTGATTACCTTATGACATTATTACTTGCTGGTATCAGTACACTGTACTGGACGATTTTGATGGGCGGGAAAGCGAAGGCCGAGATGCGTGTGAGGATTCCAGTACCTGCCCATGTATCGAAAGCATTCTGACCCATTGCCCCAATCCACACATGAACATTTGTCAATGATTCTGAAAGTAAAAAGACAAACAACAACAATTAATGTTTATATATAAAAACGAGTTTGGTTTTTGATGAGGGGGCAATGGTTAACGAACTATTTTTGCAAACCATTCCGACTTCGTAGTGAGTACGATCATCACTGAGTGCTCCATAATTGTGGCTTTGTGTCACGCTGACATAATATCTATAAAGACAGTTTTTATTTTCATCACTTAACAGTAGGTTTTTAACCGTTAAACAGTGGGGAAAGGCTTCACGAAGATGCACACCGAAATGGTAAAAAGAACGAGAAAATTCACTTTTAAATGTGACGTGTTAATACTTATTTTCGCTTTAATTATAAATATAAAAAGAATATTTTAACTCTTAGATAATAAAGAAAAAGAAAAACAGGAAATAAAACAAATTTTAGATTCCGAAATTGAATATTTCTTAACCGTATGATAATCCTTGAAGCATTTTATGTCTAATGGAGTTGTGCATTCGTTGCGCCAAGTTGTTGCCTTTTTTGGCTTTTTTTCTCTTCAAGAAGTATGCGTGTAGACCAAGTACTATCTTTGGTTTTGTTCTCCCGACCTTTTATTTGCATGCAAATACTTCAGGAAAGTAACAAATCCTAGTAAATAGTAACGCTATGAATCTTAGAATTGCCAATTAATCATTTTGACTCGAATCATGAATGAAATGATTCTCATATCTTTGGGAAAAAGCTTAAATTGTCAATTGACGATATCCGCTGATTATCAATCAAACATCAATTGATGATGCTCGCTGTTTACGTGTTAATTATTCTGTAAATGTATTCCCAATTCTCTGGTGACTAATGGCCTGGCGCCTATTTTAATCCATGAAGTGTATGGTAGATGTAATAAATTCTGGCAAGGCAGACACATTTATTTCTTTCTGATGATTGTTGGAGAGTGAACCATTGACATTAGTTAAAACTATAAATAAAAGACAGGAAATGTAATGAAGAAGTCAAAGATCTTATTTTATCCCCCTCCCCACAAATAATACATCTTGCAGGCTAATGATAACATCGTTCAAGAGACTTAACATAATTCTAAGAATGTTTCAATAGAGAACAGTCATCCAAGCTTCTGTATATGATCCCAGTAAAGTAATACGCATAGACCCCTGATTTTCCAGCCATTGATGGTCCGTCATCTCTTAAGTCAATCTTAAAGGTGAAATACTGCCTAAGAATATCTATACCATGTACTGACTACCAAACTGTACATTCCTTATCCAGTCTGAAGATAAAAGCAATACTGTGTTCTGTAAAAAACTAAGTAACACTTAGTGTACATGAAATTGTATGATAGATGTGATAAATTCTGGCAAATATGAGACATTTATTCTTTTTTTCTTAATCATTTCACTCCAAACAAGGCAATAAATCCACTAAGACGCAAAGTGTTACTGAATGTGAGAAAATATAAGAAAAAGAAAACATTAAGGAGAGAGAACAATAAAAGAAGAGGAATTAAGAAGTCAGAAGATAACAATTGGCATTGCATTTAATTTTTTGAAGTTCAAAGTTGACTGGAAAGTAAGTTCCGCAAGCGAGAAGTGCAAGAGAAGATACTTTTAGCATAGAATTTTCGGCTAGATCTAACCATTTCAATTCTAAAATGATGGGACCTTGCCGCCAATCTAGTACTGCGCTTAAATTAATAAAGTCTTGGTACCAAAGAAGAAAGTTCATCAAAGCAATTACCATGAAAGTATTTATAGAAAAAGCACAGGGAACCTATGTTACGGTGGTAGGAAAATAACTGAAACCGAAATGCCAGGTCAGGACCAATAACATTGTAGATTCTTCTTTGGATTTTATCAAGGATTCATGAATTTAATATGCAGTGTTGATAATAACATTTATAATACACGTTGTTTTTTTTGGTTTTTTTTATAGTGATGTAGTACAAGGCAGCAAGTATGAAGCACCCAGTGGGGATCGAACTCACTATTCAGTTTAACTGATCTTCCGAGACAAGCTTGCTAAACATTACATCACGTCAAAGTCCATGTTTTTTATAAGCCACTGTATTCAAATGTAACTAATTCTTAAGTAACTCCACTTGTGACGTCAACGTGGCTAAAATGAATAAATTAATTTAAATTAAAAAATGTAAAATTAAACAAAAAACAGTTACTAAATATATTATTTCATACTGTATTCTAGAATTCTACCAATTCTCCTAGTTTAGTTACAATGAAATGATTTTCTTTTCTATTTATTAGAAACAAACATAAAAAAATTAAGCAACCAAAGTACCAATTCTTGTATAAAGATTAAACAACCCAAGGACTGTGCAAAATCCTAAGTTGTTTATAAAACATATCGTGTATTTGACTTTCAGCTTATATGATAGAAAACGACAGGTAAAGAAAACTAGCCAGCAATTAATTAATTTTTGTTTGATACTTTAAAATTAAGGACCATTTTCATCAGCAGTTATTCGTAAATGGTTAAGTAAATATTTAAACTTCGAAAACATTTTTGTTTAATTAAAGTATGGTTTACATAATTTTATATTCTTAAATAACCACCAATAGATTCCGTTGGATGCTCGTGAATATTAATTTGAAATTATGTCGTGGTGAATACCCACACACCTAATCTAAAAACACTTATTTGGTATCTATATGGTGCGGAATAAGAATGGCAATAAACTCACCCCAGTTTGGCTTAAACATTAACTGGATTCCAAGGTTTGAGTGACTTTGGCACAAAGCCGTGAAGAATCCGTACAGAAGACTAAAGAGCAAGAAAGGAACGAGGACTCGATTTGTTTTCTCAATCAGTTTGTATCCCGAGAGAACGGAGAGCCCGGCCAACAAGATGCATAAGCCTTGGGTCAGGAAACCCCATTTGGACTGTGGAAATAGAAAAACAAATCAGTTTTAGACTATGGTGGAGAATTATGTCGATAAATCACAATCACTTGAGAAAAATTGCAAATCACATTTATGACTCACAGAAATACATTTGCCAACTTAAATTTAAGATTAATGCTTTTACACACGCGCGCGCACACACACACACACACACACACACACACACACACACACACACACACACGGAGCCTTGCTAACCATTGTTTTCTTCAGGATTTACCTGACTTTGCAAAGTAGATTTCCAAAGAGTAAAATATAAAAGATAAACGTAAATTTTTCACAATAAAATTTGGAAAATATGAAAAAGCAATCAATTTAATTATCAAATCAATCAGTCTGATCTTTAGAGGAAAAGCTCGAAATAATAAAAAAAACTGACTACTAAAACATATTCCTAATTCATTTTACAGTTGATAAAGTCATTAAAATAATGAGCAAGCCAATATTTCATTGTGGGGCGAGTTGAGACACCTCCATCAGCAAATGAGCTTATTGTAAAATATTGCTGATTAAAGAAACATTGACTTTATATCAATTCCAATTCTCCGTTATATTTAATGAAAATTTATTTTTACTCAAAAGTTTAGAATTTTTTAAACTTCTAGCAAATAGAGAATTATTATTATTAAATAAATATATACTTTTCCTTAAAACCTAGATAGTTCGCTTTTATACGCAGGGGATATTAGAACCTACCTATCGTGGATAAAGAGGTCCTAATTGTGTATTTGTGCATGCGTGCGTAGGTGTATGAGATGTACAACTGAGTGACTATCAAGAGTCGAGAAAGAAAGTTTAGCAAAAAATTGTATACATGCAGTATTGATTCCTACGTCTACAATGTCTACTCTATCTGTAATATTGAGTGCTCATAAATATATATATATATATATATATATATATATATATATATATATATATATATAATTATTTATTCGAAAATTATAACATTATAATCACTGCAAAAATAGCCATTTTGTTTCAACACTTATGGTGTCTTATCAAGTGATGGTGTTGAATGTAGAATAAAGGGTTTTAAAAGGTTCAAATCAATCAAACATCCCTCGCTAGGGGAAACGCTGTTACATAAGCTGCAATGACCAATCAAAATACAAGTATATGAGAATTCAAAAAAACTTGACAACAAACTTTGTTTATAATAATTATTTAATGTTGGGGTTTGACTAAAGGATACATGGGACCGTGTATAAAGGCGTTGGTTTGATCCAGTGACAGGACCCAAAGAGTTGTGAGTTCAATAGCTGATTAAAGTATTGGAGAACTTGGAGAGGTGAATTAACAGGAGATAACTGATAACTGACATCCATTAGACATGGCACGTGGAACTAGAACAGTCTACTCCAGCGAGAGAAATAAAGGGTTCAGTTCGACATTCCAACTACCTGAAGAAGGCCGGTGCGTACAACGCACAACGAAAAGTTGTGATGAATATGGCAACAAAGATGAGGACAATAGCCCGAATAATATATATATATATATATATATATATATATATATATATGGTGGCTTTCGTCTCGGTTTCGAGGTGACCACCTCTTCAGTTTCATGTTTCCACTTCTTTCCTTCTTTATTTCAAGTTGTATGCACCCGATTCTGTCAAGTTCATACCATGCTAATTCTGGGGGGTTCAAACTTTGAACTGTAGTATATATATATATATACTGAATTTTTCCGTCGTTTTTAACGTATAAGGTATGAGGGTCAGGTCGCTCAGTTCTTAGAACCAACAGCCAGATATAATATTGATAGTGGTGAAGGATTGTGCAGAACCAACCACACATTTTGGAAGAGCCGAGTACAGAGAATTGGTGCATAGTATGCCACAAGGTCTACAAACTACGCTCCGCAGGTTTTGAATCCAGATTTGTCCTTCTCCTAGACCGTTCGCCACCCAAGGCTATTTACCGTAAGTGGGGGGGGAGAAGAGATGGATTCATATCTTTCCCCCAAGCACGTAAGTGAATGTAATGAACTTGACACTCTGATTCCTCAATCCGAGCTGCTATCCATTACTCCACCGTCCCCTCCATTATATATATATATATATATATATATATATATATATATATATATATATATATATATATATATATATATATATATATATATATGCGAACAATGTAAGATAATTTTTCTATACTAAGTTTACATTATGAACGGCTTGTGAGGCGTGCAGCATAACGATTTTTGATTTGAAGAATACATGAATATTTTCTGTGGGAGGCTTGGAGCCGAAAGGGTGTTCCACAAGCGAAACATGCCAAAAAAGAAACTGTTAGCATAGAACTTACGACTACATTTAGCCAGCTCAACTATAAATTGATGAGATCTTGATGCCAGTCGAGTACTGTGCTTTCATCCCAACTATGGGTTAAATAGCCTCACCAATCCGCAATTAGCTAAGCGTGGTGAGTACTGATACCCCACTGAAGGCCTAATCAATCAGTGAGGAGTTTCTCCATCAAGAGTGAGAAGTCTCTAGATTTGCATTTGGAATGCATAGCGTGTTTATAGGATGTATAATAGTATCAGAAACACAAGTGAAGATAATGAGACAAAGTGGAAAGGCTATAAACGACGCGTTTCCCCAAAGCGTCTGCTCCTTCCGTCTTCTTCGGTTTAGAAATATATGTCGTACCATCTCCCTCTCTATACAGTGTACCAATTAATTATCTTTTATATATTGAAACGTTTGTGTTGAATACTCCTCGAGTTGCATTAGTTTTTTTAAGATTGAAATATTAATCTTGTACAGTGTAACCCGGATATAAGAGACCTGGATATAAGAGAAACCCGGATATAAGAGAGATTTTCTCTGGTCCCAAATTGTTACCATACTTACCTAAACAAAATAGACCAAACCCGGATATAAGAGAAACCCGGATATAAGAGACTTCTTCTCCGGTCCCGGCAACTCTCTTATATCCGGGTTACACTGTACAACTAAATCTACTACTGATTGTTTACATGTCATTTTTTATACTCGTGGCTCGATGGGAGGAAAGGGCATTGTTTTGTCAAGGGCCTACAGTGCTGTTAAGACGTTCCTGCTCTTCCTACGTCATTCCCACTTTTCATCGATTTCATCTCGTGCTTAACTTATTTAAACTTTGTCAATCTTGACAGATATGAAGAAAGGCAGGCGGACAACAAAAGCAAATAGAAAAATCAATCTTACCGATGTGAAATTTTCAAAAATGGCGTGACTCTCTTCCACGGCTGTTGGTAAAGGGTTAACGAGGAAGTAACTAAAATAATACATATTCCAACCAATCAGAACGCAGTAATATGATCTACAAAAGAAGACAAATACCTTTTTTTTTAATCTTTTTTTTTTTTTATTTCTTATAAAATTGTTAGGGTACATTTTATTTTAAATGAAGTAACCATTTCAGCACTGCATAGTTGACCGATTGAATCCCATTTCTTGTCTGACAACGTCATTATTTGCATTTCCCGCGGCCGGAGCAAAAACAAAGACAAAAGAATTGAGTGAGAGTCGACTGCCTGGTTATTAGCGTTTGTCAATAGCTTTCTCAAATCATCATCTGGAAGTTCAATGCTTGATTTTGCGGTAAATAATAGTGATATTTTATTGAATCAGCTTTTCTTTATATTCAATAAACCTGATGTTTGAGTTAGCAACTGTGTTGTGCATTTTATTAAAGGAGTTTTTATTCGAACCTGATTCCCGACTTTGCACATGGACGCAAGGAGACAAAAGTGACCGCAGTCGTAAGTTGGGAATTATTCATCTTTATCTACGGTACACAACGTACATAGACGGGTCCACACTAGAATTCGCCGTCAGTCCCCAATACCTTAAGATTTTGGGAAACTCGAATCAACCCAATCGAGGCGACACGCCGATCTCAACCGAGGAGGGAAAAGAAAGCCGGATGACCCATAAGGCATGGTCGATATTACAACAAAGCTAGCGGAGCTAGTGACTGGGAGAAGAAAGAAACAAAATATTCGAGAAGACTTATATGAAGAAGGGTGTAAGTTATAGCAGAAGTTCCCTGGTAAACAATTGGGGTAAATCAACAAGGATACTTATAAAAACCTCATGCTACACTCTCTAGCGAGAATAACACACAAATTGCTCTTATAATCGGGGTGATTATTCTTATTTCTTTCTCTAATGTTGACTAAAAGAGAACGGGAATATAGTGGCGAAAAGAAAATAATTTTAAGCCTTGACTTTCATTCAATTTAAAGTCAAGTTTTCCTATTTAAATATAAGTTACTCTATTTAATATAAATAAATAAAGAGAAATGCATTTCTTTGGAAGAAACATAAGAAAATAAGAAAAAAGACTTACGTTATGAAGAATAAGACGAGGCAGACCCAAGCTGCCATCCATAGAAACCGGTTTCCGAATAACTGTCGAAAAGAACCCAAAACACCTTCTGTTGCGTATCGCGCCAGAGCACATTCCAGAATCATTATTGGAGAAGTCCAAATAAAGGTAAGTAATAGCCATGCCAAAATAAATACCAAACCGCCTGAAAAAAAAGAAAGAAAAGATAAATAATGTATTTTAATCTTTTTATCTTACCAATTGAAACCGGGATATTTTCTGTGAAATGACAAATTGGCGGAATATTTTGCCAGTTGTCCCAAGACAATCACCGCTTTTGACGTCATCTGAAATCACTAATCGATTCACAGCTCGAGTAAGTTCAAGACAAGTGATTCTCAACATGATCAATAATACTCCTTTGGGGGTGCTGCGAACTCTGAAGGTGGACTTTTTAGGGGTACTATAATTGTAACACAGCTGTAGAATGAGTTAACCTTTTCAAATCTCAGCGTGTTAGATATGTATATTTATATTTTAAACTTATTTTAGGCATTTCGTTGCAATTGCAATATGTCTATGGAGCAAGAAAGCTACAAGCCAAATTCTGTCAGCTATGAAACTATGTGGTGACCACATCTTGGCTGTTCTTGCCATAGTTTACTTCCTCTGATTGGGGCTTCTACGACAAAACGCAAATACGTAATATTAATTCTGTTACATAAACTCTGCTCCATTTACTAGTGCAATTTTAACAAGTGGTGGGGCAAGCACGCTAAAATATCTGAAAAAGGCGTTGAGGAAGAAAATGTTAACAACCATTTTTCTAGAACAGAAAGATTTTTCTCGACAAAGTTATATTGTACCTCCCAAAAGCTAAAAGACATTCTTCCGTGCACGGACGGTTGTGGCCAGGATTAAAGCATTAGTTAGACATTTAGACGTCATAATGTAAACAACGCACGGACAAAATAACAAAAACAGCAAATCAGAATTAACGATACAGCGTTGGCCAATCAAACGGAAGATCGAGAACCCAAATTTTGGTTAAGTTTAGCCTATTTCTACCGATATAAGCAGAGGAGAATTATCATTTAGTCAGATAGCGGTATAGTGACAGAGGAGAAGCAATCACATCGACAAACTTGGAACGACAGATCTGCACGATACACCGGCGCCGTAAAATTCCACTCATTACACCCGGACGAGGCATGTGACACGAGAACTAACGCCCCACAGATAGATAAGCGGATTTATCTGTAAGTACGAGCTTCGCATACTAAAACTAAATACGTCCCTAAATGCTTACACGCGTGAATTATGACCGATACTTTCCGTTCACACAACGAACTAATTGCTCTGACAGAGACTCATCATTTTTCTTTTCCACGGCACCATTAATATTTGTCATTGTTTGTTCTATAAATCCATGTTTGTTTTTATTCATGTTTCTATAGTTAGAGGTATTACTATCTTAGAGGCAACGAAAAAAAAAGTATCTATCACATATTATTAATCCCGCTTCCATGAAACCTATCATTTGGATAACGAAGTGGGAGATAAAAAGGAAAAGGTTTATTTAACTTTACCTTTATTTCCATAAACAGCAAGCATCATGGGAAATCGCCATAAATTTCCGGTTCCGATGACTGAACTCATGAAAAATGTGGCACGGTCAAGGTTACGTCCAAATGAGGCCACCTTCCCCTTACATTTCTGGAAGAAAATAAAGATTATCCTGTGAGAATTAGTAATATCTGTCTGTATTTATGAGATGAGGTATCGTAACTATTTACACTAGTGTAGTGAAAGAGATAATCAGCTACCTCGTGTTTTGTGTGCGATCTGCTGAAGAAAATTTTACCAAAAAGTAGTTAGCAGAAATCTACTTTAAGGACCAGAATTTATGCTAATGTTTTTCCCTTTCCTGAATGGCGTGACCAATCAGAAAGATCTCTTGGTGAACAAAAGCCGTTGTTTTTCGCTTATGCGAGATTTGGATGTGAAGTTGGATGTGTGACCCCATTTTGTCGTTTCTACGTTGCCTGTTGGACCGTTACGACGGACTATCGTTTGAACTGTGATTTGCTTATAAGTGTTGTGGTCGAAAGACAGAAGAAATCTATTGCAGACGTTCGGTTTATTGCTACTATAAGTTGACAGTCATTTTTTTTTTCTTTACAACTACAACTAGTTACATAGTTCGGACTGTTGTCCTTATCTTAATTGTCATATTCACGACGTTTCGGTCGTCGTACGCTCCGGGCTTCGGGTGATATACGTTGGAATTCGACTAAATAAAGGGTTCGGTTTGAAATTCTAACGTATATCACCTGAAGAAGGCCGGAGCGTACAACGATCAAAATGTCGTGAATATGACAATAAAGATGAGGACAACAGTCCGAAGAATGTAAATAGTGTAAATAAAATTAGTAACGTTTAAGAAATATAATCCCAGAATTATATACTTAATGAAATTGTTCTCCATTTATTATACATAAAATAACCTTATCCGTTGTGGTGTAATATTTAAGAAGCTTGATTTTCAGATTATTACTATCGAGTAATGAGTTCGATTCTTACAAGGTTACTCATGTTATTGTAAATAACTGTTGTGGGGCTCGGTGATGCATTGACGGTCGAAATATTATTTTTTTATATCGTTTTTATGGTTGAAAAGGGCATCACTCGACTACAACAGGATTGTAATATTATAAGCAAAATTATAGATGAGGTACAATGAAATACAATTCAGAAACAGTTTATGTTTTATAGAGATAGGAAAAACGATAATTTGTTATACATTTCAGTGTGTCAAGTAATATACAATAAGTAACATTGAAGGCATCGATAATTTGTTATAATTCAGAAGTATATTTAAGTATTTAAGCTTTTCTTTACAATACAGAATTAGAGCAGATTTTCCCAAACTTTTTCAGATCCTTCTGGGTTCAGAAATTTGGGTGTGGGGAACCCTAGATACTAATCCTTTTATGGTCGTAATATATAAATATTTTCATATACTTCTATAAATAACAAGTACATTCAAAAGCAATTAAAAAAATAATACATATTGATATTAAATATATATTTTAATAACAATGTGAGTTTTTTAATTTTCATTCTTCCCACAAGTAACACATGAAACAGAATTACGAACAATGTTAACATGAAATTTATTTCATACATAATCAGAATTTTTTGGAACATTCTATGAGAACATTTCTTCTGTTTCATATTGTCACATTTTTTTTAATGTTTATACTTGAGAGTCTGATTCTCAAGTCAGCAGCAGGATTAAGTCTACTTCAGTATTTAGATTTTATTGCAGTGTAATAGGAAAATCCACTTTCACATAAGTAGGTTAGTGTTGTGTTTTTAATTTTAATGTATACACACGAAAAGTCACGCCAACGAGAGTCAATTAAAAGCCAGAGCTTTTTCCAATATGGCAAGAAAATTAACTTTCAGATTTATGTGGTGTCATAGTACACAGCTGATATCACAATCAATAACTACTTTTCAATTCAGCAATAGCATGATACAATTATCATTCACTGATATATAATATAGAAAAATATTACAAGATACATCACAACATTATAGAACAATCTAAATCTGTTGGCAACTATTTTTTTTAGAAATTATTTACCAACCTTAATAATATATTATGTTAAACATTTATTACTCTGAAATTTTGTCACGGAACCCCAGGCACTCCTTTGTGGAACCTCTGGGTTCCTAGGAACTCGCTTTTGGAAACTCTGAACTAGAGAAATAAGTGTTTTGCTTGTAATTTCTTCTTTTTTAATGTACATTCAATAAGAGTTTTTCTTTTATACATTTTAAAGAAATTATAGTGTTATGAATAATCAAGAGTGACCTCCCTTCGTTTTGTTTCTCTCCTCTTTAAGAGAGCTATTTCGGTTTACTGGGACTATAAAAGGAGACTATACGCGAACCTTGTATTCTCAGTTGAATAAGGCTTTCTTGAAGCCTACACCTGCGTACTTTTATAGTATTATTCAAAGAACATATATGTATATAATTTTGGCAAGCTCAGAAATAAAGAAATGTTTGCTTATTTGTAGCTGACAGCATATTTTATCAGATTGTTTTGAACGTCTGCTTTCTTAGGCGGTCGAAGCCAAAGAGACAAAGTTTACATTTTTTTTATTTCTTTTGGCGGTAAAATGCTTGTTCTAATGCTTTATGGGAATATTGTATATTTTATTTAACTTTTTTATAGTATAACTTTTTATTTCTTTATCGAGACTGGAATGTGAAGACTGGGCAGCTCCTGTCCATATATGGTAGCATTACTTCATTTTCGGTCTGATCTGGCCTTTGCAAAGACAGAAGATAACGCGTCGATCCAGGTCCTCACTAGAATGGCACAGGGGACCGACTATTTTCCCAGCATCTTTAGCGATGGATCATATGTACGAGTTCCACTTGAGGTCTGGGGTGAGCTTAAGTCCCAATAGACGTCCGAGTTACGGGGACCTCCCTAAGAGAATACTCGTTCATCGCAAGAGACGATAATTCAGTGACCGCTCAGTGATAATGTAACGTGCTCACTTTGCATCTGCTCATATATCGATTAGTAATTAATAATTGGATATGCGAATAGTGTAAAAGCTATTGGCTCGTTATAACAGTTGCCTTGGTTCAACGTTTTGCAGCATGAAGCTGGAAATAAATAAGATTAAACAGTGAAAAAAAACAATAGAAACTAATTAAATGTCGACGGGAATAAAGAAAGAAAGAACGGATTAAAACCAATAATTAGAAGCTATGAACTCGGAGAAAGATCTAGGAAGATTCGAACTGAGGAGGCACGGTGGAGTAATGGATAGCAGCTCGGATTGAGGAATCAGAGAGTCGAGATCGAATTCTAGTCGAATCCATTAGATTCACTTACGTGCTAATACCCTTGAGAAAGGTATGAATCCTCTTCTTCTCCCCACAAATAAATAGCAGGACAGACCGGGTTCTATAGCCTTGGATGGGAACTGGTCTACCGCAGAAAGAAATGGCAACCAACTGGAGGAAAAAAATCTGCCTCGTCAATCATGTATCAAAAGATACATGATCGCCTAAGCGTGTTTCACGCATGGCACATAACTGATTGAGAATACATTATGATTTAGAAAGACTAGATCTTACATCCAGGGCTATACGACACAAATTCATGGTCCTTTGAAATTTTCCCAAATCTCAAGGAAGTATTCTTGTTATGTTTATTATTAGACTGAAATGTTCACATCGTTACCAAATTCTAGACCAGGGGTTCGGCCCGATTCCAAAAAGTGTCATATGTTACTAGACAAAGGATATCATATGAATAACTTATCGAAATATATGCAATAAAACAATTAGAGAATTTGACATTTATTGGGCATATTAAAGGCAAGACGGGTATGGGGAAACATTGAGCCACCCCCGCTTAATGAATTTGAGTAAATGAATGCCAGGACAAGCATCGGGAGGGATAGTAAGGGGACAAAACATTGCTTAGACCCACAAAGTATAATGATCGCCCACATCCTGAATGGACACAATGCATAAAAAAGAAGACTTACCTCATAGCTGAACATTGTCTCACCGGTAAAAGTAAAAAAACAACACTAAAATCGAATGTTATCAGCCGATATGGATGTAAATGAAAATATTTGCCTGTAAATACAAGAAATATTATACAGAAAGAAATATTATACAGAAAGAAATATTATACAGAAAGAAATACTATACAAAAAAGAAATATTATATAGAAAGAAATATTATGCAAAAAGAAATATTATTTAGAAAGAAATATTATACAAAGAGAAATATTATACAAAAAGAAATATTATGCCAAAAGAAATATTATACAAAAAAGAAATATTATACAGAAAAAAATACTATACAAAAAAGAATATTATATAGAAAGAAATATGCAAAAATAAATATTATACAGAAAGAAATATTATTTAGAAAGAAATATTATACGAAAAGGAATAATATGCAGAAAGAAATATTATATAGAAAGAAATATTATGCAAAAAGAAATATTATATAGAAATAAATATTATTTAGAAAGAAATATCATTTAGAAAGAAATATTATACAACAAGAAATATTATGGCAAAAGAAATATTATACAAAAAGAATATTATGTAGAAAGAAATATTATCTAGAAAGAAATATGCAAAAAGAAATATTATACAGAAAGAAATATTATTTAGAAAGAAATATTATACTAAAAGGAAAAAAGAAATATTATATAGTAAGAAATATTATTTAGAAAGAAATATTATATTGAAAGAAATATTATACAAAGAGAAATATTATACAAAAAGAAATATTATGCCAAAAGAAATATACAAAAAAGAAATATTATACAAAAAGAAATATTATATTGCCAGAAATATTATGCAAAAAGTACTTTTTTTTTGTCGCTTCACGACGCTGCATGCAGACGAATTACAAAAGACTTTTCGAATTATTTTCCTGACATCTTAATGAAAATTTCTTATGTACAAGGCTCATCTCAGATTATGTCAGAATTGACTTTGTACTCAGTGTCACACCAGAGCATAAAGCAACCCAAGATATTAAACATGTAGCGGAAGTCATCGATAAACTGTTAACGGTAAGTTCTGATCCTGTTCCTACCGAGGTCTAGTGGTATTGGCAGTTTTAAGTTCGACGACATCAACAAATTCAAGTTCTTGAGATGCCATGACGACGTTCAAAGTTGGCTTAGGAGTTGAATCGTTGGCGTAAATGTTAACTTCGTTAATTAAAGCAATTAACGGATTAACGGTTTGGTGCCCAGCCGATTAAAAAATACTGCTATTCGAAAAAAAAAAAAAACACCAAAAGAAGTTTACCAAAAAAGTACTCAATTGCGCGGGAACAATAGGACCTCGACAAAGGGGTGTAACAGAAAAAGCAGTAGAGTCCCCGACAATACAGGGTCCTCAGAAACCCCGTATCAGAGCATGCATATATTAATTAACGCACAAAGTAACTTCCAAAGCAGTTGTTACAGTATTGCTCCGAGTTGCACTAAAAGCAGTGTCATACAAATTTTACACCCGTACGTGACGGGTCGTCATTGTTAAGAGAATTGAAAGGAAATGGAATAAATTTCAACAAGGCAGAGAGATTTTCATTTGTTTTATATTTAACTATTAACTTATTAACAAATAAGATTGATTGATTGATTGATTTTTTACGGCTTATCAACCCTTTAACAAAGGAAAGAAAATACATTGGTATGCATGTAGATGTAACTGAAAACAAAGAAGTCATTAAAATTTAACAATTAGGAATCATGCGTGTCTCTAGGTGTGAGTGATATACGTGTATGTGTGTGTGTGTGTGTGTGTGTGTGTGTGTGTGTGTGTGTGTGAGAGAGAGAGAGAGAGAGAGAAAGAGAGAGTTCTGTCACTAGACCTTCTAGATATCTCTATTCTAGGAAAAATTTTGTAGTGAGGAAAAAAGTAAGAAACAGGAAGTGTTGCATTTTTATTAGCTGTTTAACAGGTCACCTTACGATGTTTTGGCAAACCTGGCAAAACTAAAAAACAAACTGGTGGTAACCCACAGTATACTAAAGAGACACACCAGAGTAAAAGAGCTCAATATTAAAATAGCAGAGCATTAGCGCGTAAAAATAGTTGTTGTCAGTTGGATCTTGGCCAGATTATGATAATATAACATTACATCATATATATGTGCGTGTGTGCGTGCGTGTGTACAGGCGTATGGTTAGTAAATGACTACTGAAGGTTTGTATAAAAATATTTTTTTAAAAGTTAGGTCTGTTATTTCATGCAACAGAATTATCGAAAATTGTTTTTTTTTCTGCCAATCTTGCGGAACATCCCATCTGGACATTTTATATTTCGTATAAACGCTGTAATTCCTTTTGAAATTTAAATTATTTAGTGTACATACAGGAAAGAACTAAACTTAAAAGAAAATTATTAAATTATAGTCTGCCATTAGACAGATGTTTTTGCAATCAATAAAATTCAGAAAGAATAAAAATTCATCGTCAGAAAAATTAAATACTTCGTATATTTGACAAAACAATAGTGATAAAAAGAGGCCAATAAAACCATTGTTCTGTAGTAACAAAGCGTATAGCATACAAAAGATGTAACGCACACATTATATATATATATATATATATATATATATATATATATATAGTTTTGAGGTAAGGCATATTTATGGGTAAAAGTGCTCAATATCAAGGATAGAGTGTATGTAAATATAAAAATATATAAAAATGGACATTGAGGTCAACACCGAGTGGCAGTAGGATGTTCATGCTTGAACGCAATCTTCAGGCCAATTTTAAACTGCAAATATATACGTGTGTGTGTGTGTGTGTGTGTGTGTGTGTGTGTGTGTGTGTGTGTAAATTATTTCAGATAGTCTATCTGTAAAGGGAAAAAATGAATAAAAAATGCCATTGCTTTATCAAGGCTTTTAAACTTGAGAAGTCTTGATAAACTAATAACACCCTTGCTCTTATACACACACACACACACATATATATGGTGTTTCAATAACATGAACCGATTCTAAATGTGAACTAAGTTTAAGCGTCTAATGAGTTTTTTTTTAATATATCGAAATTTATGTTCAATGTAAACTATACATAATCCCTAATCTAGCCACATTGTATCTCCTATCCGCAAAACTCTTCAAAAATTTCTCCAATTTTATATAATAAAATATATCAAATTTTCAACCTGTAAATTATTTGCTAAGTTTTGGGGCTGAAATATTCACCGTATTATCTTCAAGTTATAGAAAATTATAAAACCCGTCGTATTAAGTGCATTGACAAGAAAGATAATTTAGCCAAACACCAGAGACTCTCCTCAAGTAATACCCTCTATTTATTTCTACAAAAGATACCTGGAACATCGTAAAACCGTTGGATAGAGCTGGTTTTCAAATCCAAAACACTATTTTTTCACAGTCACCACCATTGTTTATGCATTTTAGAAACGTTCTTCATCTTGTGTCTTTGTAACACAATGGGTCCCAGCTCGATTAACTTGGGCTGTAAATTATTTTATCTGTATTTGATGTGACTGGTGTTTTGTGACAAGCAGCAGTAAAATCTAAATGCGGGAATCTTCAAAGTAACCACCCACTGTCGACAAGTACGGAAAAAAGAGAAAAAAAAAACAATGAAAACTTCCGGAATCATGTGTCACTCGGCGGGAAGATAAAGAATTTTACTTGTAGAACTAGTGACAAGCTGCCCGCTGTGCTGTAGCGATAGACAGTGCGGTAGTCAGAGGCAAGTCATAAGCAGTCTGTTGAGACGTAGATATTCGTAGACAGGGATGGGTAGAGCTTCAGTCGTTCCCACTAGGCGAAGGGAAGATGCGGACCGTTAGTTTGGCATTAGAAGAAACGAAAGTAGCAGCAAAGATATCCTAAATTTCATTTACTACCCCAGCCAAGTGAATCCAAGAATAAAGAAAACAGTATATTGAAAAGAGGATTGACATTTCCTTTTCTCGCTATAGCGATATTTCACCTTCCATCACCAGACCTTTCCAAGATTTTTTTATTTTTATTTTTTATTTTTCACATCTTTGCAGGCAGGAATCAAAACACATCGGAGTGTGAAGCTGTCCTGTCAGTGAGAAAATGCCGGAGTGCCGCGGTAGTATCCTTACAGGCTGGCAGTTGAGAAGACACTTCCAGATTATGGCTTGTCGCAGACATTACCCACTGCCTATGCTCACATCGACTGTTTGATCTCCGGAATGTTTAGCAAACATCGATATATGTTAATGGGTGCAACTTTTTCTTGTGGAGAAATTTAATGATAAACCTTTGCTTCATACGCAGTTACATGTCAGATGCCATTTTGCTAAAAGTCTTAAAAGAATATGGGCTATTGCTGGGAAGGTTCATCCCCTTATGCCACACCTTGTAGGCCAACATAATAAATTAGGAGGCATTACTTTCCGAGCTGCTTCTGTTTTATTTTTTAAATAATATTCTTTGTTTATTATTACGGCATGAACTTATTAATATATCTATGTACTCTAGATAAAACCCATACATATTCTCTCTGCAATCGATATGCAGGCAGTGTAATGGTTAGCGTCGCGGAAGGAGAAATCAGCGAGCCAGGTTCGATATATTCCCGTTCGAGTAAATACTTTTCACAAAGGTATGCATTCATCTCCTTCCCCCCAGTTATGAGTTAAATAGTAGGGCATACCGGACTCGTTAGTCTTGGTTGGTAACCAGCCTAAGAGAAAGATAACTCTGAATTAAAAACCTCGAAGGTTTGCCTGTTTAGTGATTATCCTCCACGAAAAACAACAAACAAAATAAAGCAAAAAACAAAAACAAAAAAAAACATGCCACCTGAAAGTGAAGTGTGGACAGAGACGCAAGTATTTACTAACCAGTCAGTCACTTATGTGCCATGCGTGATACACGCTTAGGCGATCATGTATCTTTCGATACATGACTGACGAGGCAGATTTTTTGTCCTGCAGTAGGTTGCCATTTCTTTCTGCCGTAGACCATTTGCCATCCAAGGTTATAGAACCCGATCTATCCTGCTAGTTACCCATAGCCGGGGGAAGAAGAAGAGAATTCATACCTTTCCCAAGGGTATTAGCACGTAAGTGAATCTAATG